AAAATTTATGTCTGTCACATCAATTAGTCATTTCTGTGACATTTCATATTTTTATAAAAATTAATTAATTAATTAATTAATTTATAACTTATTTATATGATTTCATTCATTTTATAAAATGATAAAATGCTGTGAAAATTATAAAATAAACATAAAACGAATATTAGTTGAACAGATTATTTCATTGCTAAACTGTTATTCAAATAAAACAAATTGATTAGATAAATTTGTTTAAATCAAATTTAATCATTTAAAAGATTAAAAAAGTAAAATTAAAACTAAAAGTAAATTCGTCCTTTGAAAATTTTATTTTATTTTATTTTATATATTTTAATTTTAATTTATATTTCTGCATGAATAACACATATTAAAGAAATAAATATTTAATTAATAAATTTGTTTATTTAATATGATTTAGTAATACTTAACTTATTTATTGATTATCATATTTTATTTTTTACATCAAAAAATTTCTCATTTTTAATTAATGCTTAAACTTTTTTTTTTTTATGCAAAAATATTTTTCAATTACAAATTGTTATTTTAATAGTAATCAAAAAAAAAAAAATTTTTTTTTTTACTTTTATTTTAAAAGTTAATAATATCAGATATGATAAGGAAGTTATAATATGATAATAATCTCAATACTATCATAATTCAAAGATTTAAAATTTAAATAATTATGCTAATTTTTTATTGAAATGAAATAAAATAAAATAAAATAAATTGAAACCAAAAATTAATTTGCAAATAAATTAAATTTAAATTTTAGAAATGAATTTATAGTGAATTTAAATTGTGATGTTTGATCGTTTCAGAAATATTTTACTTTCTCAAATTGAAGTACTTTTTTAATTTAAATCAAAATTTTTTTTCTATTCTGAGCAGTTGCTATGGTAGCTGAAAGGTATATATGAATTTAATGAGTAAATTCTATTCATTAATTTTTTCTTTTTTTTTTTAAACTTAAAAAAAAAAAATCAATTTTTTTTAAAATTGTTTAGAAGTTTTAATTTTAATTTCATATTTCTTAATATTATCAGTAATTAATAAATAAATAAATATATATATATATATTTTTAACAATTATAGAAATTATAAATAATTTTATTGCAAATTGATGAAAAAAAGTTTAGCAAATGATTTTATAATTTAATTAATATTTTTAATATTTTTAAAAAAGATTTTAAATATTTAAAATATCAATTTATAGTGATGAATTTTTCAACTTTTCAAAATTTTTTTTTTTTTTTTTTGATTTAAAATGAAAATAACGGACAGAATGTGTATTAGTTTATTGTTGTATAAGAGGGAGAGAGAGAGAGAGAGAGAGAGGTAAAAAGAAAGGGGAAGAGAAAAAAAGAAACAGGTGGGATTGTTTGTATAATCTTTTCTGATCCAATGGCTCATCATCTATCGAACAAAAATTTATTACTGATTTTTTTTTTTTTTTTTTACAAAACATTTCTCATATTTTTTTTTTTTTTTTTTAAAACCTTTTTGAATTTTTATTTTATTGAAAGATTAGAAAAAAGCTTTGATAAGTTTTTTCGCATTTTTTAAATATTTAAATTCTTATTTTATTGAAAGATTAGAAAAAAGCTTTGATAAGTTTTTTTCGCGTTTTTTAAGTATTTAAATTCTTATTTTATTGAAAGATTAGAAAAAAGCTTTGATAAGTTTTTTCGCACTTTTTAAGTATTTAAATTCTTATTTTATTGAAAGATTAGAAAAAAGCTTTGATAAGTTTTTTCGCACTTTTTAAGTATTTAAATTCTTATTTTATTGAAAGATTAGAAAAAAGCTTTGATAAGTTTTTTCGCACTTTTTAAGTATTTAAATTCTTATTTTATTGAAAGATTAGAAAAAAGCTTTGATAAGTTTTTTCGCACTTTTTAAGTATTTAAATTCTTATTTTATTGAAAGATTAGAAAAAAGCTTTGATAAGTTTTTTCGCACTTTTTAAGTATTTAAATTCTTATTTTATTGAAAGATTAGAAAAAAGCTTTGATAAGTTTTTTCGCATTTTTTAAATATTTAAATTCTTATTTTATTGATTAATTGTAAATGTATTCGATGCATTTTACTTTGAGTAAAATAAATTGTAAAAATCAAAAAAAAAAAAAAAAAAAAACAAAATTCCTAATCAAATGGAAATTTTAAATTTTTCAAAAGAAAAATAAGAAAGGAAGTGAGAATAATTTTGAAATTATAAAATGTTTTTTTTTTTTTTTTGAAAATAATTTTAATTGTTTTTAGAAATTTAATAATTTCCTATTATCGATTAAATTGTTATCGATTTATCGATCGAATTTACAAAACAATGAAATTAAATCATTTCTAATTGAATATGAAAAAGTAGAAAAGAAAATATTGATCGCATATTTAACCTATGCGAACAATCATTTTGATCTAATCGGCAATTCTTTTCTTATAAGATACATTGTATGTGGGTCAAAGTTCAAAGTTCAACGGTCGAATTTACAAAACAATGAAATTAAATCATTTATAGATATAAAAAAGTAGAAATGAAAATATTAATCGCATATTTGACCTATGCGAACAATAATTTTGATCTAATCGGCAATTCTTTTCTTATATGACACATTGTATGTCGGTCAAAGTTCAAAGTTCAACGGTCGAATTTACAAAACAATGAAATTAGATCATTTATAGATATGAAAAAGTAGAAATGAAAATATTAATCGCATATTTGACCTATCCGAACAATCATTTTGATCTAATCAGCAATTCTTTTCCTATAAGATACATTGTATGTGGGTCAAAGTTCAAAGTTCAACGTTAACATTTTTGTTTATTTCTATCAAATTGACTTATTGTAAATATTTATTTCACTGTGCTTTAAATTATAAAAGTTTAAAAAAATTATTAAAAAAAAAAAAAAAAACGAAGAAAAAGAAAATTATAAGAATTTTTCTGTTGACAATATGATTGACATTTTTTTTTAATTTAATTTAATTTAATTTTTTTTTTTTGTTTTCATTTTAATTTTTAATTAGATTATCAACCTAATCGTATTAAATTGTTCTTTATCAAATTTCCTACTATCATTAAATAGCATAAAATTTTATTGTTTGATAATACTAAAATTTTATTCATTTTTTTTTTTTAAATTTTATATTTTTAAAAATTTAAAAAATTAGTATAAAAAAAAAATTAATTTTACTTTTTATTGATATGTATTTTTTTTTTTATTTCATTTGCTGCCTTTTTCTAAATTATTAGAAATAATAAATTGGAAAATTGAAAAATTATAAATCTATGTGAAACATTTATTCAACAATAATTCTGGAAATGTAAGTTAGTTTCAAATTTAATAAATTTGAAATAGTAATTTTTTTATTTTAACTAAATTTCAAATAGTAATTTTTCAAATTTAACAAATTTGAAATAGTGATTTTTTTATTTTAACAAATTTGAAATAGTAATTTTTTTATTTTAACTAAATTTCAAATAGTAATTTTTTTTATTTTAACCAATTTGAAGCAGTAATTTTTTATTTTTATTAAAGCAAAAATAAATTTATGAAAACATAAAATAATGCAATTATCAGTGTTTCATCCATTTTTTAAAATTATTTAAATCCGTTTTTTTATTTTTAGTATTCAATTTTTAAATACCTCTGAAAAAAAAAAAACGTACATTTTTGGGATGAAAAATTGAATTCTTTCAAAATTATTGAACAGTAAATGAAACTAATCAAAATTATATTCAAATTATATTCACAAAAAAATAAGCGATTGGATCGTTTTACTTAAAATAATAATTAAATACTCAATAATATTTGATAACTAAATACTCAATAATATTTGATAACTAAATACTCAATAATATTTGATAACCGAATATTCAATGATATTTGATAACTAAATACTCGATAATATTTGATAACTAAATACTCAATAATATTTGATAACTAAATACTCAATAATATTTGATAACCGATTATTCAATGATATTTGATAACTAAATACTCGATAATATTTGATGACTAAATACTCAATAATATTTGATAACTAAATACTCAATAATATTTGATAACTAAATACTCAATAATATTTGATAACTAAACATTCAATAATATTTGATAGAATTTATTAAAAAATTTTACGATTATACCTAAGTTTTGTTTTTTTTTTTTTTTAAATTTTTTAAAATATAAATTTAATGCATATTAATATTAATGTTAAATAATCGGTTTCATCATTGTAATATTTTCAAATTTATATTTAAATTTAATCAATTGTTGAAAAATTTTTTTTCATCATTAAAATATGAAGAAGGAAAGAGAGAGAGAGAGAGAGAGGGAGAAGAAGAAGAAAAGAAAGAGATAAATGGAATGGAAGAAAGACAGTAATAGAAGTGAATTACTTCATTTCATTAATTCAGTTTTTTTTTTTTTAAAGTTATATCATGGAATTTTATAATATTAAAACATTTAAATTTAATTTTGAAATTTAAAATTTGCTTAAATTCCATACTTTTCTTACTATAATTCATTCTATTCATGCAATATGTTAAATTAATTTATTTCAAAATTAATTGTCTATCGTAATATTTGTGTGAAAAGTTAAATTTTTCATTTAAATATGTTATTTTACAGGTAAATCTTGCTGAAATTGTTTGATTTATTAATGATATATTGGAATTAAATTAATTCGATTTCTTTTTCAATTTCTATCAATTTTAAATTAATTTATTTCAAAATTAATTGTCTATCGTAATATTTGTGTGAAAAGTTAAATTTTTCATTTAAATATGTTATTTTACAGGTAAATCTTGCTGAAATTGTTTGATTTATTAATGATATATTGGAATTAAATTAATTCTGATTCTTTTTTTCCAATTCCTATCAATTCTATTCTGATTATTTAAAAATTTTCATTTCAAATTGTTTATTAGTTATTTGCAAACGGATATAAAAATTAAAAAAACAAATGTGTCTTTCATTTATTGGTCAATTTTTATTTGGTATTTTAATGATTATTACACTTGGATTAACAATCATTTCAATGTTTCTACCTGGTGATTATTTTTTAATTTTATTTTTTAAAATTATTTATTTTATTTTTTAAAAAAAATGAGAAATTTTTAAAATATACAAATTATTCTATTAGTTTTTTTTTTTTTTTTTACAAATAAAAAAAAAAAAAAAAAAAATATTTTATAAACTAATATTTAAAAAATTGTGTAATTTCATAAAATTAAACAATTTTATTTCAATTGTTTCTCATTTGTTTAAATCCAAGCAAAAAAAAAAAAAAATTTAATTCAATTATAATTTTCAAATTTTATTACCTTTCCCTCTCCCTCTCTCTTTCTCCTCTCTCTCTCTCTCTCTCTCTCTCTCTCTGTAATAGATTTGATCAATATATCAGATCAATTTCCTGTTAGCACCATGAAAAGAGTAAAAAAAAAAGTCTTATCAAAATTATCAAATTTAATTTTTAAAAAATGTTTAGATCAATTTGATCAAAAATTTAATTAATTACTTTCAAAAATTCATTTCAATCATAATTTTTTTATTTTTAGGTTTAAAAGAATTTCAACAAATAGCAGCAAATATAAGCGATGATTTAAGACATTTTAAAATTCCAAAAAAATTTGTCACATTTGAATCGCTCTGTCGAATTGCATCAAATGACAATTTTAATTTTAATGATAACACTGATCCAATCAATTATTGCAAACATTGGTTTCATGTAAGTAATTTTTTTTAGCAAATTAATTAATTAATTAATTAATTAAAAAAAAAGATAAATTCTTTTGATGGTGAAATTTTGAATTAGTTTGTTTTTTCTTTTTCCATTAATTTCATTTTTTTTTTTTTTGATATTTTAAATTAGAAATTTTAATTTTAAATTAAAATACATTATATAACAAATAGAAATTAAAATAATATTTCATGAAGTTTTTTTTGTTTTTTTTGTTGTTGAAATTTATTAATTTACAATATTTTTAATTAAATTAAAAAAAATTTTTTTTTTTTTTTTTAAAAAAAATTATAATACAATTAGTTTATAGTAGTAATTGCATAATTTAATAAATTTAATTTAAAAATAAAAAAAAAAAAGCAAAGCAATTTAATAAATCTTTTTTTTTTTTTTTATCTTTTCTTATCAATTCTTTTAAATTTAATATTTTTTAAAAATTTTTAAATTATATTATCATTTTTTTTTTTTTTTTTAAATTTAAATTTAATTTATAATAATATTTTTTTTTTTTTTTTTAGCAATTAGAAGATTGGGAAAAGATAGTGATAATATTAATGTGTTTATCAGTGATTATGGAGATAATAACTATTTGTTGGACATTAATTTCATTTTTTGGCTGTTGCTGCCGAAAAGTCTGCATGCAATTATTGCCAATGTTTTCATTAATTATTGCATTGCTACTTGCTGCAGCAATTACTATTTTTGCAATAAACAATCAAAAAGTTATACGTATGTTTTTTTTTTGTTAATTAATTAATTAATTAATTTTATTATAAATCAAATTTAAAAATACTAATCTAACAATTCCAATATTAAATTGAAATTTAAAAAAATTTAATTAATTAATTAATTTTATTATAAATCAAATTAAAAAATACTAATCTAACAATTCCAATATTAAATTGAAATTTTAAAATTTCTTTTTTTTTTTTTGTACTAAATAGTATGCTTTTTTTAAAAAAAAAGTTATTTAATTAATTAATTAATTAATTTTATTATAAATTAAATTTAAAAAATACTAATCTAACAATTCCAATATTAAATTGAAATTTAAAAAAATTTAATTAATTAATTAATTTTATTATAAATTAAATTTAAAAATACTAATCTAACAATTCCAATATTAAAATGAAATTTTAAAAATTCCTTTTTTTTGTACTAAATAGTATGCTTTTTTTTAAAAAAAAGTTATTTAATTAATTAATTAATTAATTTTATTATAAATTAAATTTAAAAATACTAATCTAACAATTCCAATATTAAAATGAAATTTTAAAAATTCCTTTTTTTTTGTACTAAATAGTATGCTTTTTTTAAAAAAAAGTTATTTAATTAATTAATTAATTAATTTTATTATAAATTAAATTTAAAAATACTAATCTAACAATTCCAATGTTAAATTGAAATTTTAAAAAATTTAATTAATCAATTAATTTTATTATAAATTAAATTTAAAAATACTAATCTAACAATTCCAATATTAAATTGAAATTTTAAAAAATTTAATTAATTAATTAATTTTATTATAAATTAAATTTAAAAATACTAATCTAACAATTCCAATATTAAAATGAAGTTTTAAAAATTCTTTTTTTTTTTTTTTTGTACTAAATAGTATGCTTTTTTAAAAAAAAAGTTATTTAATTAATTAATTAATTAATTTTATTATAAATTAAATTTAAAAATACTAATCTAACAATTCCAATATTAAATTGAAATTTTAAAATTTCTTTTTTTTTTTTTTGTACTAAATAGTATGCTTTTTTAAAAAAAACAAATTTATTTTTAGTAATAAATAATAAAATATTTAAATAATATATTTTAAAAAGTAAACAAATATTTATTGTCTAATAATTATTTATTTTCATTTATAATTATTTATTAAATTTATTTATTTATTATCTTTTTTTTGTTTACAGTATTTTGTCCTTTTTTTTTCTCTAAAATTTTCAAATATTTGTTTTTTTTTTTAAAAAAAAATTTATTTTTTTACTTTTAAGATATTAAAAATTTTCTTCCTCCAATACTTAAAATTCATTCAATAATAATTTTTTTTTTTTTTTAATTCAATATTTAATTCAAAAAAGAATTAAAAAATTATAAATGACTATTTGATGATAAAATTTATAATACTTTTTTTTTGTCACTAATTTTTGAGATTCAAAAAAAAAAAGAAAAATTCAATTTTACAATTAAAGTAAAAAAAATAAAATTAAAAATTATAAATTTATTAAATCAATGCGTCAATCTATTTTTTAATTTTAATTATTGCATATGAAATTATATTTGCTAGCAATAAAAATTTCATCAAAAAATGTAATTTCATATGCAAATTAAATTAATGTATTAAATAAAACTTAAAATATAATTAAAATATGCTTAAAAAATTTTAAATTTTTTGAACTGAAATTTTTTTATGCTTTAACAATTTATATATGAATGAATTTTAATCATTTATTTTATTACTTTTAAATCTTTTTAAGAGAGGAAAAAAAAGAAGCAAAAGAAAATTGAATTTTAAAAATAGGAAATTTAAAAATTTTAGAATAAAATTTAAAATTAGGATAGAATATTTGATATAATTTAATTATAATTATTATCAATCCAAGGAAAAAAAAAGTGCTATTAAATTAATCAAACAATTCATTTTTTCCTAATTTGTTTAAAAAAAAAAAAAATGATTGATTAATTAATTATAAAATTAAATTAATATTTAATTCAATTTATATTCACAAATACTTACATTCATTTTTTATTTTCAGATAATATTGATTTTGCTAATTTAACAAGAAGCCTTGAAATTAAAATTCAAAATGAAACTGCTCGAAGGTTCTATTTGGCGTGTAGTGCATTGGCTGTAGCAATTATTGATATTTTTGTTGGCAGTTTAAATTTATGTTTTTTAAAATTTTGTTGCTAAAAAAAAAAAAAAAAAATACAAAGGTATGTAAATTAGGCTATAGATACATTGATAATTAGGCCAACAGATTAAAAATGCAGAACTAGGCTTTTAGAATGAGAGACATTAAATGGCCAAGAATGCCTACAATTCACATCAAATGATTTTCTAATTTTTAATTTGTAATCACTTTATTGCTAAAAGAAAAGAAAAAAAATACAAAGGTATGTAAATTAGGCTATAGATACATTGATAACTAGGCCAACAGATTAAAAATGCAGAACTAGGCTCTAAAATGAGAGACATTCAATGGCCAGGAATGCCTAGAATTCATATCAAATAATTTTTCTTCTATTTTTTAATTTGTAATCACTTTGTTGCTAAAAGAAAAGAAAAAAAAATACAAAGGTATGTAAATTAGGCTATAGATACACTGATAATTAGGCCAACAGATTAAAAATGCAGAACCAGGCTTTTAGAATGAGAGACATTCAATGGCCAAGAATGCCTACAATTCATATCAAATGATTTTCTAATTTTTAATTTGTAATGATTTTGTTGTTAAAAAAAAAGAAAAGAAAATACAAAGGTATGTAAATTAGGCTATAGATACATTGATAATTAGGCCAACAGATTACAAATTCACAACTAGGCTCTAGAATGAGAGACATTAAATGGCCAAGAATGCCTTAACAAATATGTAATAAAATGAAATTTCGAATTTATTTTCAATTCACATCAAATAATTTTCCTTTGATCGATCACTCCATGGCCAACAGACTGCAAATCCAGAACTAGGCTCTAAAATGAGAGACATTCAATGGCCAAGAATGCCTTAACAAATATGTAATAAAATGAAATTTCGAATTTATTTTCAATTCACATCAAATAATTTTTCCTCGATCGATCACTTCATGGCCAACAGACTGCAAATCCAGAACTAGGCTCTAGAGAATGAGAGACATTAAATGGCCAAGAATGCCTAGAATTCATATCAAATAATTTTTCTTCTATTTTTTAATTTGTAATCACTTTATTGCTAAAAGAAAAGAAAAAAATACAAAGGTATGTAAATTAGGTTATAGATACATTGATAATTAGGCCAACAGATCACAAATTCACAACTAGGCTCTAAAATGAGAAACATTCAATGGCCAAGAATGCCTACAATTCCCATCAAATAATTTTTCTTCTATTTTTTTTTTTTTTAAATTTTTGTAATCAAATCATTCCATTTAACTTTTTTTTTTTTTTTAAAATTTTGTGCCATTTGAATAATTTTTTTTTTTTTTTTTTTAAAAAAATATTTTTTATTCATTGAATTGTTTATTTGTCTGAAAAAAAAAAAATTTTTTTTTCTTTTTATTATTTTATTTGAATTTATTTATGTTTTTGATTTTATTTTATTTTATTGCTTTAAAAAATGCTATTTAAATGTTTTCTTTTATATATTTTTTCTTTATTTATTCTTACATTTTATTCAATTATACTTTTTTTTTTTTGCCTAAAATTAATCATACAAAAATTAAAAAATAACTTTTGACCTTTTTCTATTATAAATTGAAATTGCTAAAAATTTTATTCTCAAATTTTCATTGATATTTTTTAAAAAAATAAGAATAAAAAATTTATAAATGCTAATATAATAATAATAGTAAAAGAGTATATTTGTGTACTGTTATTTAAGTTTTTAAGTATTTAAGTTCTTTTTTTTTGTTCTTTTATTATTATTTTTTTTTAATTTTTAATTTTTGTATTATTATTATTGTATTTTAATTTTTTGATAGCTAAAACAAAAAAAGAAAAAAAAATTTTATAAAATATATAATATTTTTTTTGCTGGTAGATTTTAAACATTTTTTTTTATTTTAACATTTTTTTATTTTAATTGTATATTTTAAGTTTTTTTATTTTAATATGTAATATATTTTGTATATTACTTATGTTAAAATCGATTACTTGAAATGAAGTATATTATATGAAATCGATTACTTGAAATGAATTATTTGATTTTAAATTCGATTAAATGTATTCGTTTCTATAAATTTTAATGAATTGACTATTTCACATAAAAGCAATTTTGTTTTTTTTTTTTTTTTTTTTTTTGCTTTTAAATATTTTATTAATTTAAAATAAAAAAAAAAAAAAAAAAAGGGAAAAATGATTTGCCATTAAAATGCATTCATCATTTAATGAATGAAAATTCTTTTTTAAATTATTAATTGTGCAAAAATTTTTTAATTAAAACAAAATAAAATTTCGTTTAGATAATAAATGAATAAGTTTACTTTTATTTACTTACTTACTCACTTACTTACTTATTTACTCATTTAGTTACTTACTTACTTACTCACTTACTTACTTATTTACTCATTCACTTACTTACTTATTTACTACTACTATTACTGCTATACATTCATCATTTATTTAATAAATTAATTTTTTCAACTGTGCGAGAATTCTTTAATTAAAACAATATAAATTTTCGTTTAGATAATATACCCATAAGTTTACTTTCATTTACTTACTTACTCACTTACTTACTTACTTACTCATTCACTTACTTACTTATTTACTACTACTATTACTGCTATACATTCATCATTTATTGAATAAAAATTTTTTTAATTGTGCAAGAATTTTTTAATTAAAACAAAATAAAATTTCGTTTAGATAATAAATCAATAAGTTTACTTTTACTTACTTACTCACTTACTTACTTACTCATTCACTTACTTACTTACTTATTTACTACTACTATTACTGCTATACATTCATCATTTATTTAATAAATTATTTTTTTCAATTTATTAACTGTGCGAGAATTCTTTAATTAAAACAATATAAATTTTCGTTTAGATAATATACCAATAAGTTTACTTTTACTTACTTACTCACTCACTTACTTACTTACTCATTTACTTACTTACTTATTTACTATTACTACTATTACTGCTATACATTCATCATTTATTTAATAAATTAATTTTTTCAATTTATTAACTGTGCGAGAATTTTTTAATTGAAACTATAAATTTTCGTTTAGATAATATACCAATAAGTTTACTTTTACCAACTTATTTACTCAATTACTTACTTACTCATTTACTTACTTACTTACTGCTAGTACTGCAACGAACTACTAGTTTGCTGCACATTTTGTGCAATTGGCTCTATTATTCTTTTAGGCGCAAAAATCAATGCTTCCTTCATCTTTCCTATTTTTTTTTGAGCTCATTCTTCCATTACTCCCATTCTTCTTGCTAGCTAACTTACACTTTTATCATTTCTAATGTTTTTTTCTTTTTTTGCTAATTTTTACTTTTAATTTTTATTAGATTAAATTTTTTAATAAATGAAATAATTTTAGTAAATTAAATTAATTTAGATTAAATCAGTTGCGTAGAATAATCAGTGAAATTTATCATTTGTTATCAATATTTATTGTTGTTTTTATGTGAAATAAATCGTGTTTTTCTTCTCTTTTCTATTGCTTAGAGATTGTTTACGAACGGATTAATGTATGATTGAGTTATTGATTGATTGATCTGATCTAATCCGATTAATTTCGTTGATTACACTTTCCTGAATTATAAGCTATCACAAATTTATCACTGAATAGACTGTTGTCAGAAATATTTTAGTGTTATCAAATATTTTTTATAAAATCAGAAAAGTGTAATCAACAATATTACTTGTAAATGCAAAAAGATCAATGATTGATTGATCTGATCTGATTAATTTTCTTGATTACACTTTCCTGAATTATACACTATCATAAATTTATTACTGAATAGACTGTTGTCAGAAATATTTTAGTGTTATCAAATATTTTTTATAAAATCAGAAAAGTGTAATCAACAATATTACTTGTAAATGCAAAAAGATCAATGATTGATTGATCTGATCTGATTAATTTTCTTGATTACACTTTCCTGAATTATACACTATCATAAATTTATTACTGAATAGACTGTTATCAAATATTTTGTGTAAAAAAATTTTATGGTACTATTCAGATAGTTCAGATTACTACTTGTAAATGGGATCAATGTGTGATTGATTTATTGATTGATTGATCTAATCTGATTAATTTTCTTGATTACACTTTCCTGAATTATACACTATCATAAATTTATCACTGAATAGACTGTTATCAGAAATATTTTAGTGTTATTAAATATTTTTTATAAAATCAGAAAAGTGTAATCAACAATATTACTTTTAAATGCGAATGGATCAATGGTTGATTGATTGATCTGATCTAATCCGATTAATTTTGTTGATTACACTTTCCTGATTTATAAACTATCATAAATTTATCACTGAATAGACTGTTGTCAGAAATATTTTAGTGTTATCAAATATTTTTTATAAAATCAGAAAAGTATAAACAACAAATATTTTATTATTACTTTTAAAAAAAAAAAAAAAATTTTTTTTTGATTATAAAATTTGTTTAGTGGCAAAATAAAAAAAAAAAATGTGTGTTTCAATGATTGGTCAGCTAATGTTTGCTATAATAATGTCCATTACATTATTGCTAACTATTGCTGCATTTCTTACTCCTGGTAAATTTAAATTTTTTTTGTTGAAATTTTTTAAAATTTAAATTATTTTAACAAAAAACAAAAAACATTAGCAAAAATTTTTGGTTTATTTTCTCAATGATTCTAAATCTTTGATAACTTTAGATATGTTAATTATTAAGTAAAATAATCAATTGTTTATAATTGAGTAAAGTAATCAATTGTTAATAATTAAGTAAAGTAATCAATCGTTAATTATTAAGTAAAGTAATCAATCGTTAATTATTAAGTAAAGTAATCAATCGTTAATTATCAAGTAAAGTAATCAATCGTTAATTATTAAGTAAAGTAATCAATCGTTAATTATTAAGTAAAGTAATCAATCGTTAATTATTAAGTAAAGTAATCGATTGTTAATTATTAAGTAAAGTAATCAATCGTTAATTATTAAGTAAAGTAATCAATCGTTAATTATTAAGTAAAGTAATCAATCGTTAATTATCAAGTAAAGTAATCAATCGTTAATTATTAAGTAAAGTAATCAATCGTTAATTATTATGTAAAGTAATCAATCGTTAATTATTAAGTAAAGTAATCGATTGTTAATTATTAAGTAAAGTAATCAATCGTTAATTATTAAGTAAAGTAATCAATCGTTAATTATTAAGTAAAGTAATCAATCGTTAATTATTAAGTAAAGTAATCAATCGTTAATTATTAAGTAAAGTAATCAATCGTTAATTATTAAGTAAAGTAATCGATTGTTAATTATTAAGTAAAGTAATCAATCGTTAATTATTAAGTAAAGTAATCAATCGTTAATTATTAAGTAAAGTAATCAATCGTTAATTATTAAGTAATCAATCGTTAATTATTAAGTAAAGTAATCAATCGTTAATTATTAAGTAAAGTAATCAATCGTTAATTATTAAGTAAAGTAATCAATCGTTAATTATTAAGTAAAGTAATCAATCGTTAATTATTAAGTAAAGTAATCAATCGTTAATTATCAAGTAAAGTAATCAATCGTTAATTATTAAGTAAAGTAATCAATCGTTAATTATTAAGTAAAGTAATCAATCGTTAATTATTAAGTAAAGTAATCAATCGTTAATTATTAAGTAAAGTAATCAATCGTTAATTATTAAGTAAAGTAATCAATCGTTAATTATTAAGTAAAGTAATCAATCGTTAATTATTAAGTAAAGTAATCAATCGTTAATTATTAAGTAAAGTAATCAATCGTTAATTATTAAGTAAAGTAATCAATCGTTAATTATTAAGTAAAGTAATCAATCGTTAATTATTAAGTAAAGTAATCAATCGTTAATTATTAAGTAAAGTAATCAATCGTTAATTATTAAGTAAAGTAATCAATCGTTAATTATTAAGTAAAGTAATCAATCGTTAATTATTAAGTAAAGTAATCAATCGTTAATTATTAAGTAAAGTAATCAATCGTTAATTATTAAGTAAAGTAATCAATCGTTAATTATTAAGTAAAGTAATCAATCGTTAATTATTAAGTAAAGTAATCAATCGTTAATTATTAAGTAAAGTAATCAATCGTTAATTATTAAGTAAAGTAATCAATCGTTAATTATTAAGTAAAGTAATCGATTGTTAATTATTAAGTAAAGTAATCAATCGTTAATTATTAAGTAAAGTAATCAATCGTTAATTATTAAGTAAAGTAATCAATCGTTAATTATCAAGTAAAGTAATCAATCGTTAATTATTAAGTAAAGTAATCAATCGTTAATTATTATGTAAAGTAATCAATCATTAATTATTAAGTAAAGTAATCGATTGTTAATTATTAAGTAAAGTAATCAATCGTTAATTATTAAGTAAAGTAATCAATCGTTAATTATTAAGTAAAGTAATCAATCGTTAATTATTAAGTAAAGTAATCAATCGTTAATTATTAAGTAAAGTAATAAACAAAAAAAAAAAAAATATTTTAATTTAATTTTAATTTTTTTTTTCCTTCCCTCTTTTCAATAATGTTTTATTTAATTTTGCCTACAAAAATTAATAAATGAAAAAAAAAAAAAAAAAACGAAACTGAAAAATTTGCATAAATTTCAAATCGATCAATAATTTTTCGTAAATTATTTGATCAACAAAATGCAAATTATTCTTGCTACTTTCTTTTTTTGCATCATTTTGAAGTACAAATATAATTTCATAAATTATTAAAAAAAAAAAAAAAAAATTAAAAACAAATTTAAAATTATACTATTTCAAATTTAAAATTAATTTTTTATCATATAATTGTTTGTTTGTTTGTTTTTCAAGTCAAAAAAATAAATAAATAAATAAACTAAGCTTCTAACATTTGATAATAATTTTACTTAGTTAATTTGAAAGTTATCTGAAAAAGTTAACTGATAAATATTTGTTCATATTAAGGTTGGAGGTCATTTTCGGTGATAAAAGATAACGAACAAGAAGCTGAGAAATATTTGGTACCACAAACAATGGGTCTTCTCTGGTGTACCTCACCGATACCTGAAAATAATTTCAAAATTGATTACTGTCATCTATGGCACAATGTAATTTCTCATTTTTTTTTTTATAACATTTATTAAACACTGATAAAAATTATGATAAACAATGATAACAAATTCTTTTATCATATAAATTATCATACAGAAAAAAAAAATAAATAAAAATTTCATATCTTTAAAATATAATCTAATCATTTTTTTTTTTTTTTTTACCTCTGAATTAAATTTAAAAAGATATCAATTTAATTACCAATTTAATTTAATACTAATTCAAAATACCAATTTAATAATAATTATTTCTATAAAAAAAAAAGAAGAAAAATATATAAAATATTTTCAGGATAAGCTATAATTATGATAAAAAAAAAAAAAAAAAACAATGATAACGAATTCTTTTATCATATCAATTATCATACAAAAAAAAAAAAAATAAAAATTTCATTATCTTTAAAATATAATCTAATCATTTTTTTTTTTTATTAACCTTTGAATTAAATTTAAAAAGAATTGCCCAACAATTTTAATTCAAATAAATATTAATTAAATTTAATAATAATAAAATAATAATTAAATTTCTATATAAAAAAAAAAGAAAAATATATGAAAAAATTTGAATTAAATTTAAAAAGAATTGCCCAACATTTTAATTCAAATAAATATTAATTAAATTTAATAATAATAATAAAATAATAATTAATTTCTATATAAAAAAAAAAGAAAAATATATGAAAAAATTTGAATTAAATTTAAAAAGAATTGCCCAACAATTTTAATTCAAATAAATATTAATTAAATTTAATAATAATAAATAATAATTAATTTTATATAAAAAAAAAAGAAAAATATAAGAAAATATTTTTTCAGAAAAAGCCAAAATGTGATGAAAATGTAGCAAAATTAATGATTGCAACATTAATCATCGAAATTAGCTCATTAATTTTGGTTGCAATTACATTTTGCGCCTGTTGTTGTCGTGAATTTTGGATTTTTCTTCTACCATTGTTAGCATTTGTTGCTACAGTGACATTAGCTATTGCTTTGTTTATATATACTCGAAATAATAGCACTGCTTTTGGTAAGTAATCTTTTATTTTTTTTTTAAAGTTTTATTTCAATTAATTTTTATAAATATTATTTTTAAATGTTTTTGTTTAGTTTTATTTGAAATTTTTATTAAATTTTCATAAATATTACTTTTAAATCATTTTTTTTTCAGTTTTATTTCAATTGTTTTTTATAAATATTATTTTTAAATGTTTTTTTTAAGTTTTATTTGAAATTTTTATTAAATTTTCATAAATATTACTTTTAAATCATTTTTTTAAAGTTTTATTTCAAATTTTTATTGAATTTTCATAAATATTACTTTTAAATGTTTTTTTTTTTAGTTTTATTTCAATTGTTTTTTATAAATATTATTTTTAAATGTTTTTTTTTAGTTTTATTTCAAAATTTTTATTAAATTTTCATAAATATTATTTTTAAATGTTTTTTTTTTTTTAAAACAATAATTTAAATTTATTGCAAAGAAGGAGAAAAAAGAAAAGGAAACAATAATTATTTAATAATTAATTATGTGCTTCTTTTTTTTTCTTTTTGTTTAAATTAATTAAATTTATTACTTTTAAATCTTTTTTTTTTCTTGAGCAATAATTTAAATTTATCATAAAGAAGAAAATAATTAATTGTGTTTCTTTTTTTTTTTGTTGTTTAAATTAATTAAAAAAATTTTTTCAGAGATATTAAATGAAAATGAACAAATTGCATCAGAAGCATATCATATTAATTTTTTCTATAGCTATTATTTAGCTTGGATTGCTTTAACTTTAATGACTATTTGCATTTTGATTGGTGCTTTTGCTAAAAAACTTGCCCAAATTTGTTGCTAATTATTTTCTTTTTTTTTTTTTTTTTTTGCTCCAAGAAATTTGGGTAAAATAAGTAAATGATAAATTTAAAAAACTAAAAAGTTTTTTTTTAAAAAAAAAAAGTTAATTATTTAAATGATATATGCTTAAATTATGTAAAATTCTTTATCATTTATTTATAATTTTATTCTTTTTGTTTATTTTCGAAAAAAAGGAAAAACGAGAATTATCGTTTTTTATAGGTTTTAAAATTAAGTAAATTTCAATTTTTTAAATTCCAATATTTATTCAATGGTAATTTTTTAATACAAACTTTAATTAAAACACAAATTTTTCAATGTTTTAATTACTTTTTTTGAAGCTATTCTTAGGCAATTTTCATTCATTTTGTACAATTTGATTAACAAATTTATTTTTTGTTTTTAGTTTTTTATTTTTTCAGCAAATTACTAATTTATTTGCTAAAAAGGTTTGCTTTATTGTATTAAGAAAATAATTTGGAAATTTTTTTTTTATGCATAAAAAATTTTTTGTGTTATTTGCTTAGAAATATATAAAAAGTATTAATAACAAATTAGATATCATTTTTTTTTTTTTGACAAAAACATTAATTACAGTATTAAAATTTTGGAAACGTTTTTGTCAGAGAGAAATGATGATTAAGAAATGATAAATTATTTACATTTAAATTGTAATATTTTGAAAATTTAAAAAATGAATGATTCATTTAATTATGATTCAAGCAAATTTTATCTTTATTAGCAATGGCTTCGCTTGTTTATAATAGAATGTATTTTTAGTATGTTTATTTTTATTTATTATTATGTTTATTTATCTTGTTATGCTTATTTATTATGTTTATTTATTTTATCATTGTATTCATGTTTGAATTAAATTTCATTTTTTTGTTCAAAAAAAATTTTAATTTCTTTTTTAAAAAAATTTGATGGAAATGCATTTACTTTAATATGAACAGAATAGCAACAACATCGATATTTGATATTGTTATGATTAAATGGAACATTTTGTGATATAACTTTAAATATTTGATAGCAATTTATTCGTTTACTTCTTTTGTTCTCCTGAAAAAAACTACTGAACAAACATAGATTGATTTAAAGAATATCAAAATTTGAAGAAATTATTTACGATAAAATAAAGAAAAGATTTTAAGAAAGGGAAGAAGTATCTCTCAAAAAGTCTTAAATAAGTATAAAAAAAAAGCAGTAATATCTCTTTGAATGAAAAAAATATTTAATGCTAATGTGTAAATTAACCAAAACAATTTAAATTCTTTGCAATTTTTGTTTCATTTAACGAATTTGGATTGATTTTAAAAACATTGTATTTAACATATGTATATAATTTCAATGTAATCTTTTAAAAAATTATGTGAATTACCGATATCAAAATTTGAATTTTTAGATATTAAAAAATTCAAATGTAAAAAAAAAAAAAAGAAATTTACTTGAAAATGTTTTCTTATTGTGTTAATCAATTAATAATAATAATAATAATAATAATAATGCAGACTGCTTGATTATAAACGATATGGTTACAATGTTAGTAAATTCCTCTGATCATCAGATATATTTCATGCAGCTGTTATCAGTATAGACAATTCTGACTTTAAAAAACGCTACCTTAAAAAGATTATCTATTAAATTTAACTCCTTACTTCAGTATAAACATCACCATTGTTTTCAGCTAATTTAAGCAGTCTTCCAGTACTTCTGATGTGTGCTGCACTCAGTTTTTTGATGATACAATACATTCATATTCGAACAAGTTCAGGCTACAACACAAAATACCTGAAAACGTTTAAGAATGATCTGTGTAATCCGTAATCATAATCCTTGCTTACATCAGCCAAATAGCAACAAATTCAACTGTTGCAGATTTATTTTATTCAGACATTCTTTGAAAACGAATATAGCATCTCTCCTAAACCCTAAAACATACTATTCGTACCAAACGACAGTAATTAATTTAAAAAACACGAGACAAAATAATCAACAAACGTTTTGTTTTCGTAGAAAAACGTTTTGTTATTGAATAATTGATTAGTTGATTACTATTTCTTTATCTTTACCACAATTAGTATGTGTTCCTAGAGTCGGAAAAAAAGAAACTGCTTATTTCACTTATAGTTCCAACATTTCAATACATTTGAGAAAAGATAAATTAATTATGAAAACAGGTGACAATGACTTCCAGAAGAACACATACCTTTCACGACCATGTGAAGATTCTTTAATTCATTATCAAATATTCATTATTTACTAACTATTCGTTACCAAAAAGAAAAAAAAAAAATGAAGAAAATGTAAGCATACGCGCTAACTTCAAACATAAATTCATGCTTCCCGCTGCTGAAATGCAACGTCAACAAGTGAGCAACGTAATGCAAACATGGAAAGTAATAAGGCGCAAATGGAATGACCAAGTGTACATCTGAAATTTTAAATTTCGATTTATAAGAAACTCTTTAGCTGAATGAATCATTTATCATTAATTCAAGTTGTGTTGCCATTGTTTCATTTGAATAATGCAATTATTCTTTCACCATTTTGGCGCAATTTTACAGAATGTCATAAATTCAATCGTTTGCTCCTCGAACTGTTTTGCACAATTGTTTCGCATATCCTTAAATAATTAAAAATTGAAAATTTTCACTCATTTCGTGCACTAAATTAAACTGAACTATATTTTTATTACGCATGTTGATTTTACCTTCCCAACTTTTTATGCAAACTAAATCTTTTACTAAATCTGCAAACTAAATCTAAATATTCACCTGTATGATGGATAAATACTTCCATTTTCCATCTTTTTTTGCTTTCTTTAAAGTACTAATTTTCTCATCAACTTTCAACAACTTCCTCATTAACAAATTATGAGTAAACAAGCTTTGGAACAACTTCAACTTATATTGATTAATACCACATAATCAAAGAAATGCTTACTTCTGTATTCAATCGTTCTTTTCCACTGCGAGTTGCTTCCAATTACTTTAAATAATTTTTCCTCCGAATTACCAGACCACTGTGGAACTCTTAACACATATAAGTTTGCAAGCAATAAGTAGTTCCCCGGTACAAACACCCATACTATCACGTGCTATTTGTTAGTACAGTAATACATCTGCTCATATATATGACTATGGTGGATCTTTGATTATGAATCTGAGTGGATTACATAACAGTTAGCAAAGAAATAAATGAATGACATATATACATGTGCTTGTTAGAGTTATCGATTCACTTTCTGTGCTCAATTTTGCAGATTGGTTATGAATAACTAAGTTAAAACTGTCCACAATAAAAATATCTCAAAATTATTAACTTTGTTACTATCAGAAATTAATTGCAATGTTAATATTAGTGTTCGATGCATAAATGAAATTTAAGAATTTTCAATTTTAATTAAACTTAAAAATATAAGAAATAGTTCATTTATTGGTAATGTTCACTTCTTGGACGGTTAGCATAACACTGAGAAGAGACATTTATCAATTGATCTAATCATTGTTTATTTCTCTTTTTTGAGTAGAAATTAAAAAATGAGACCTGGTGGTGGTGCAATGAAAAAATTTGGTGGGAAAAGACGAATGAGATTTAAGCATAATAAAGTTGTTAAACGAAAAGTTTTGAAAGCACCGAAGAAAAAAGGAATGATCAAAGGAAAGAGTAAATTTAGACAGAAGAAAAATAAACAAAGGATGAAGAAAAGATCGTCAGAAAAAAGTAAGACGAATAGACGAAATGAATTGAATCAATTTATGATCATTTTTTTATCAATTGAATTAATTGTGGAGCTAAATATATATATTTAGAATAGGTAAAGCATATGTTGGATAAGTAAAATCAATACTGATTAAGTATAAATTAAGGATTTCAAGTTATAAATTAACTTATAAATAACAAATTAATGAAATCTAGAAGAGAAATAAGCTTAATGAACGAATGAGTGGTAGCTGGAGATAATGAATTTGTCTATAATCCATTGGTGATAAATTGAATAATTGATAAAATTGAATGATAATTGAATGACTAATAAAATTTAATTCAAAAAAAAAAAAAAAAAAAGAAAAGTACTGTAAAATATCTTTTTTCTATTAAATAAACTAAAGAATTTTACAGTATGCAAAGATTTGACATTAATTTATCATTCGGAACAAATATTATTTTCATTGAAATAATTTACTGATCGATTCCCTTTCTCAATTTTTGCATGTTGCGATCGAATGGATCAAATGCAATGTTGCGAAAAAATGCAATATAACGACCAAATGCGGTGTTGCGGCCAATGCAATGTTGCGACCAAATGCAATATTACGACCAAATGCGGTGTTGCGGCCAAATGCAATGTTGCGACCAAATGCAATATTACGACCAAATGCGGTGTTGCGGCCAAATGCAATGTTGCGACCAAATGCAATATTACGACCAAATGCGTTGTTGCGACCAAACGCAGTATTACGACCAAATGGAATATTACGATCAATTACAGCGTTGCGATCAAATGGAATATTACGATCAATTACAGCGTTGCGATCAAATGGAATATTACGATCAATTACAGCGTTGCGATCAAATGGAATATTACGATCAATTACAGCGTTGCGATCAAATGGAATATTACGATCAATTACAGCGTTGCGATCAAATGGAATATTACGATCAATTACAGCGTTGCGATCAAATGGAATATTACGATCAATTACAGCGTTGCGATCAAATGGAATATTACGATCAATTACAGCGTTGCGATCAAATGCAGTATTACGACCAAATGGAATACTACGATCAAATGCTATATTACGATCAAATGGAATACTACGACCAAATGGAATATTGCGATCAAATGCAGTGTTGCGATCAAATGCAGTGTTGCGACCAAATGCAGTGTTGCGATCAAGGTTTACTTTCACTTTAACCAATGAAATTAACTAAGAAACTTCTTCGCAAGCAATATTTTTCTATTTTCTGTGCCATATTTGCTACAAGGAATTTGAAAGGCTAAAACAATGGGCGCATTCGTACCTCTAAGAAATACGAAAAAGACTATAAGCGCTTCGCCACGGAATTTTCAATTAATTTTTTATTAAACTTACCTATAAATTGGCTGACTCATTTATAGTATATATTCTAGGCTTGCAGTGGCCATAACTTCTGGCTGCTTTCCACATTTATAGGCCTAAGGACTGGAAAAATTTTTTTTTTTTTTTGGAAGACTTATTTTTTTTTTTTTTTTTGGAAGACTTATTTTTTTTTTGGAAAAATCTTTGGAAGACTTATTTACACTCTAATGTCTGCCATGTTGATAGCATTGTGCTCACAAGTTGACAATTTGTGAAGGAAAGTTTTTTATTTCACTTTGAATTCAGCTGTTCGCTCTTATTTTTTGATTTCAGTAGCTCTGCTCGGACAAATAATATTTCTTGGAAGGAATAGTTGCTTACTGTTTATTTTCTATAGTTGCTTGTTGTTTATTGTTGCTTACTGTTTATAATTGTTTATTGTTTATGGTTGCTTATTGTTTATTGCTGCTTATTGTTTATGATTGCTTATTGTTCATGCATAAATTTTACCTAATTTGATTAACTGCATGCTTCTTATATTATTTAGTCATAATTCATTTGCAATTTTAATTTCATTAGTATATGCAGAGATGGCAACCGTTTTTTTCTGAAACAATTAGTGATAACAATAATAATAATAATAAAAGAAATAGCATTAGCAGTGAAAGAAATGACGATTGAGAAATGATTAACATTACTAGATAATAATGTTTATTATCTGTGATATATCATTGATAATTTAAAGATAAGCAAAAGACGGTTGTTTAGTGTTACCTTAAGCAAACGATAGAATTCATACCTGTTTTCCATTAAAATTGAAATTTTATTGAAATTTTGACAACAAAATGTTTGATGAAATTTATCAATTTTTATTTCTCTATTAATAATTAAAAAAAAAAAAAAAATTTAAACAATTTATTTCTATTCGAAATAAGTACGAATCAAAAACTTTGATAAATAATAACAAAGTTTATTTTATTGACTTTAATTTACTTCTTCTTGTTCATTTTCAAAATACACTCATAAAATTATAAAATATTTCATTCAGGAAATGGAAATGAAAATGATGAATGATTTAATTAGAAATGCTCATTTTCAAATAAACAAAATGAATTGGGAAGAGAAAGTTCAAAATTTCACTGATAACACTTGGGAATGTTTATGTGATAATGTAACTGATATTACTAATGTTAGTTAAATTTAAATTTCTACTAATTATATAAGTGATAATTTAATAATTAGACAATTAGCTAGGTAATAATAATAACATTATCATGATAATTATTAAAGTTTTATTATTAGCTTAATACTATTTTATCGAATATGATGATAAATTAGTTAAAATTAAATTTGACAATCTAATAAATACGAATTTAATTTTATAACATAATAAATTGAGCTAGGCCAATTTAAATTTTTTTTAAATTATAAATTAGCTAATAAAATTAATTGAATATAAACTTATGTATTATATTTTTAAATATTTTTTTTTTTTTGTAGATACAAGAAAAATGCATAAATATAGAAAACAAATTAATAAAAATTTTTAAATATATAAAATATGATATCGAATCGAGATTGTCCACTCTGAAATCTGATTCTAATATCAGTTATTTGTCATCCAATCAGTATTATCCATTTTATAATAAAAGTAATAACTTAGAAAATACCTTAAGAGGTAAAGTAAAAGTATAATTATCATTGATTATTGATTATTTAATTACTATTTGTGAATTTCAAAAAATCATTTTCAAAAAAATTATTTGTTTCATTTAAAACATTATAAAATTGTTTATTGTTTACTGCTTAACGCTTTCTTTTTTTTTTTTTTCTTTGAGTGATTAAATAATTTTTTAGAAAAAACATTGGAAAATGATATATTATCAAGTTATTTATATGATGCAGCATAGTTTACTTAAAATTGATGCATTTCAAGTAAACAAATCAAAAATTTATTTAATTTTTTATTGCCCTATATCACTAATAAACAATGATATGTTTGATTTTGATAAATTTTAAAATTTATTTTTAAAAAATTTTCATATTTTGTTCATTGATTTATTTGTTTGTTTGCTTTTATTTCAGAAACGAAAAATGGGATTGAATAAATATTGTTCAACGATACGTTTACTCATTTATGATAGAGTTAAAATTAAAAAACAATTATTGAATGTTAAATATGCAAGAAAAAAACTTGCAAATATTAAGCAAAAAATTCAAAATTCAAATTTGATAAAACAACAATCGGTTAAAATTTCCCTTAGTTCAAATTTAAATTTAGCCATTTTGAATTTAAACAAATGTTAATAGATTTTGATTAATTAATAAATTAAATATTCCACAAAGCATTTTTTTTTTTTTAAACTTGATATTAAATAATTTTTAGCAATTTTTTTTTCAAAACATTATTTTTATTAGACTAAATGTACAAAAGTAAAAATTTTTATTTTTTAAAAATTCGTAAATTTAAGTGATTTGAAGGACAAATTTTAAATTAATTTTAATTTGGCATTTTAAATTAATTTATTAGCTGAATAAATGCATAGCAATGTTGGATAATATATTGGCAGCAATGCAATTTATAATAATTGAAATTGACAAACAATTTGATTCAATTTATTCGGTTAATCGATACATTGCATTATTTAATGAATTGTACCAGCAGTTTCAGCACAATCACCAGGTATTCCATTCAAATTAAATTAATTTGAAATTGGAAATAATTGAAATTGAAAATAATTAAATTAAACTGCACAATCACTAGGTATCCCATTCAAATTAAATTAAATTGAAATTGGAAATAATTGAAATTGAAATTAAATTAAATTAAGCAATTACCAGTATTTCATATAATTGAAATTGAAATTAAATTAAAAAATAATTGAGACTGAAGTTAAATTAAATTAAATTTACGCCAATCACCAGGTATACCATATAATTGAAATTGAAATTAAATTAAAATCACTGAGTTATTTTTAATCTTTTAAAATGGAATTTATTTAAAAAGAAAACAGAAAAGTAATCGATGAATAAAAAAAGAAATGAAAAAAAAATTTTTTTTTTTTTTTGATAAGTTAGATATTATTTGAAATGATAAAAGATTAGTGCAAATATCAAAGGTTTGAATTTTGATAAAATGCTAAAAAGATAAATTGATAATCTGACAAAAAAAACCGATAATGTTAAAAAAAGTCTCTAATCATTGCACTGATAAGAATTGATAATTTTAAATTTATTAAAATCATTTTTTAAAAAATTTTTTTACATCAATTATTTTTTCTATTATTTACTAAGAATTTTTAATTTGTGATAAAAAATGTTTTTTGCAGAAATTTTTTTCGCAACAAAAATGGATATTTGATGAATGAAAATAAACAGTAAACAATAATTTCATTTTTTTAATTTCTTTCGAATCGCTTATTTTCTTTTTAATTCTTAATAAATTTAATAAATATATTTCTATAAAATTTAATAAAACAATAAAAAAAGGAAAGTATTGCTGTTATTGTTTATTTTTCATTTATTTCATCAATTGTTTATGATTTATTTAAATTTGTTTACTTTTATTTATGAAAAAAAAAAGAAAACGAGAAATTTTAAGTTTTTTCAAATTTAACTGTATAATAAAGTTTTTTTTGTTTCGAAACTTCACTTCAAAAAAAAAAAAAGAAAAGTAAGAAAAAAAAGTTTACATTGTAAATAAATTAATTATAAAAATAGGATTTATTGTTTTTCAAACATTAACAAAAGAAATTAGATTAATTAATTAGTAAAAAAAAATATACAAATGATAATTTGTTGTGATAAATATTTTATTTATTTTTTATTTATTGTTTATTCAACATCAACAAAGAAATTAGACTAATTAATTAATTAATAAAAAATATGCAAATGATAATTTGTTGTGATAAATATTTATTTATTGTCTTTCCAAACATTAAAAAAGAAATTAGATTAATTTCCAAGAAAAACAAACATTAACAAAGAAAAAATTAGCTTAACAAAGAAATTAGATTTATTGTCTTTCCAAACATTAACAAAGAAATTAGGTTACAGAATGTCATAAATTTACTCGTTTGCTCCTCGAACTGTTTTGCACAGTTGTTTCGCATATCCTTAAATAATTAAAAATTGAAATTTTTCACTCATTTTGTGCATTAAATCAAACTGAATTATATTTTATTACGCATGTTGATTTTACCTTCCTAACTTTTCTTTTCACTTTTTATGCAAACTAAATCTTTTACTGTAAATATTCATGTTCACTTCTTGGACGGTTTGCATAACACTGAGAAGAGACATTTATCAATTGATCTAATCATTGTTTATTTCTCTTTTTTGAGTAAAAATTAAAGAATGAGACCTGGTGGTGGTGCAATGAAAAAATTGGTGGGAAAAGACGAATGAGATTTAAGCATAATAAAGTTGTTAAACGAAAAGTTTGAAAGCACCGAAGAAAAAAGGAATGATCAAAGGAAAGAGTAAATTTAGACAGAAGAAAAATAAACAAAGGATGAAGAAAAGATCGTCAGAAAAAAGTAAGACGAATAGACGAAATGAATTGAATCAATTTATGATCATTTTTTTATCAATTGAATTAATTGTGGAGCTAAATATATATATTTTAGAATAGGTAAAGCATATGTTGGATAAGTAAAATCAATACTGATTAAGTATAAATTAAGGATTTCAAGTTATAAATTAACTTATAAATAACAAATTAATGAAATCTAGAAGAGAAATAAGCTTAATGAACGAATGAGTGGTAGCTGGAGATAATGAATTTGTCTATAATCCATTGGTGATAAATTGAATAATTGATAAAAATTGAATGATAAGTTTAATAATTGATAAAGTTAAATGATAATTGAATGACTAATAAAATTTAATTCAAAAAAAAAAAAAAAGAAAATACTGTAAAATATCTTTTATCTATTAAATAAACTAAAGAATTTTACAGTATGCAAAGATTTGACATTAATTTATCATTCGGAACAAATATTATTTTCATTGAAATAATTTACTGATCGATTCCCTTTCTCAATTTCTGCATGTAGCGATCGAATGGATCAAATGCAATGTTGCGAAAAAATGCAATATAACGACCAAATGCGGTGTTGCGGCCAAATGCAATGTTGCGACCAAATGCAATATTACGACCAAATGCGGTGTTGCGGCCAAATGCAATGTTGCGACCAAATGCAATATTACGACCAAATGCGGTGTTGCGGCCAAATGCAATGTTGCGACCAAATGCAATATTACGACCAAATGCGGTGTTGCGACCAAACGCAGTATTACGACCAAATGGAATATTACGATCAATTACAGCGTTGCGATCAAATGGAACATTACGACCAATTACAGCGTTGCGAACAATGGAATATTACGATCAATTACAGCGTTGCGATCAAATGGAATATTACGATCAATTACAGCGTTGCGATCAAATGGAATATTACGATCAATTACAGCGTTGCGATCAAAGTGGAAATATTACGATCAATTACAGCGTTGCGAACAAACGCAGTATTACGACCAAATGGAATATTACGACCAAATGCTATATTACGACAAATGAATATTACGATCAAATGGAATATTACGATCAATTACAGCGTTGCGATCAATTGCAGTATTACGATCAAACGAAATATTACGACCAAATGCTATATTACGATCAAATGGAATATTACGATCAAATGGAATATTACGATCAAATGGAATATTACGATCAAATGGAATATTACGATCAAATGCTATATTACGACCAAATGGAATATTACGATCAAATGGAATATTACGATCAATTACATCGTTGCGATCAATTGCAGTATTACGATCAAATGAAAATATCACGATCAAATGGAATATTACAATCAAATGCTATATTACGACCAAATGGAATATTACGATCAAATGCTATATTACGACCAAATGGAATATTACGATCAAATGGAATATTACGATCAAATGCTGTATTATGGCCAAATGCTATATTACGATCAAATGGAATATTACGATCAAATGCTACATTACGACCAAATGGAATATTACGATCAAATGGAATATTACGATCAAATGGAATATTACGATCAATTACAGCGTCGCGATCAAATGCAGTATTACGATCAATTACAGCGTTGCGATCAAATGCAGTATTACGACCAAATGGAATATTACGATCTATTACAGCGTCGCGATCAAATGCAGTATTACGACCAAATGGAATATTACGATCAAATGCTATATTACGACCAAATGGAATATTACGATCAAATGGAATATTACGATCAAATGCTATATTACGACCAATTGGAATATTACGATCAAATGGAATATTACGATCAATTACATCATTGCGATCAAATGCAGTATTACGACCAAATGGAATATTACGATCAATTACAGCGTTGCGATCAAAATGCAATATTACGACCAAATGGAATATTACGATCAATTACAGCGTTGCGATCAAATGCGGTATTACGATCAAATGAAATATTACGATGAAATGCTATATTACGACCAAATGGAATATTACGATCAAATGCTATATTACGACCAAATGGAATATTACGATCAAATGCTATATTACGACCAAATGAATATTACGATCAAATGGAATATTACGATCAATTACAGCGTTGCGATCAATTGCAGTATTTACGACCAAATGGAATATTACGATCAAATGGAATATTACGATCAAATGCTATATTATGGCCAAATGCTATATTACGATCAAATGGAATGTTACGATCAAATGGAATATTACGATCAAATGGAATATTACGATCAATTACAGCGTCGCGATCAAATGCAGTATTACGATCAATTACAGCGTTGCGATCAAATGCAGTATTACGACCAAATGGAATATTACGATCTATTACAGCGTCGCGATCAAATGCAGTATTACGACCAAATGGAATATTACGATCAAATGCTATATTACGACCAAATGGAATACTACGACCAAACGGAATATTACGATCAAATGCTATATTACGACCAAATGAATACTACGACCAAATGGAATATTACGATCAAATGGAATATTACGATCAAATGGAATATTACGACCAAATGGAATACTACGATCAAATGCTATATTACGACCAAATGGAATATTACGATCAAATGCTATATTACGACCAAATGGAATACTACGACCAAATGCTATATTACGACCAAATGGAATACTACGACCAATGGAATATTACGATCAAATGGAATATTACGATCAAATGGAATATTACGACCAAATGGAATATTACGATCAAATGCTATATTACGACCAAATGGAATACTACGATCAAATGCTATATTACGACCAAATGGAATACTACGACCAAATGGAATATTACGATCAAATGGAATATTACGATCAAATGGAATATTACGATCAAATGGAATATTACGATCAAATGGAATATTACGATCAAATGCTATATTACGACCAAATGGAATACTACGATCAAATGGAATATTACGATCAAATGCTATATTACGACCAAATGGAATATTACGACCAAATGGAATATTACGATCAAATGGAATATTACGATCAAATGGAATATTACGACCAAATGGAATATTACGATCAAATGCTATATTACGACCAAATGGAATACTACGACCAAATGCTATATTACGACCAAATGGAATACTACGACCAAATGGAATATTACGATCAAATGGAATATTACGATCAAATGGAATATTACGATCAAATGGAATATTACGATCAAATGCTATATTACGACCAAATGGAATATTACGATCAAATGCTATATTACGACCAAATGGAATATTACGATCAAATGCTATATTACGACCAAATGGAATACTACGATCAAATGCTATATTACGACCAAATGGAATATTACGATCAAATGGAATATTACGATCAAATGCTATATTACGACCAAATGGAATACTACGATCAAATGCTATATTACGACCAAATGGAATATTACGATCAAATGCTATATTACGACCAAATGGAATACTACGACCAAATGGAATATTACGATCAAATGCAGTGTTGCGATCAAAGTTTACTTTCACTTTAACCAATGAAATTAACTAAGAAACTTCTTCGCAAGCAATAATTTTCTATTTTCTGTGCCATATTTGCTACAAGGAATTTGAAAGGCTAAAACAATGGGCGCATTCGTACCTCTAAGAAATACGAAAAAGACTATAAGCGCTTCGCCACGGAATTTTCAATTAATTTTTTATTAAACTTACCTATAAATTGGCTGACTCATTTATAGTATATATTCTAGGCTTGCAGTGGCCATAACTTCTGGCTGCTTTCCACATTTATAGGCCTAAGGACTGGAAAAATTTTTTTTTTTTTTTGGAAGACTTATTTTTTTTTTTTTTTTTTTGGAAAAATCTTTGGAAGACTTATTTACACTCTAATGTCTGCCATGTTGATAGCATTGTGCTCACAAGTTGACAATTTGTGAAGGAAAGTTTTTTATTTCACTTTGAATTCAGCTGTTCGCTCTTATTTTTTGATTTCAGTAGCTCTGCTCGGACAAATAATATTTCTTGGAAGGAATAGTTGCTTACTGTTTATTTTCTATAGTTGCTTGTTGTTTATTGTTGCTTACTGTTTATAGTTGTTTATTGTTTATGGTTGCTTATTGTTTATTGCTGCTTATTGTTTATGATTGCTTATTGTTTATTGCTACTTATTGTTTATGATTGCTTATTGTTTATGACTGCTTATTGTTCATGCATAAATTTTACCTAATTTGATTAACTGCATGCTTCTTATATATTATTTAGTCATAATTCATTTGCAATTTTAATTTCATTAGTATATGCAGAGATGGCAACCGTTTTTTTCTGAAACAATTAGTGATAACAATAATAATAATAATAAAAGAAATAGCATTAGCAGTGAAAGAAGTGACGATTGAGAAATGATTAACATTACTAGATAATAATGTTTATTATCTGTGATATATCATTGATAATTTAAAGATAAGCAAAAGACGGTTGTTTAGTGTTACCTTAAGCAAACGATAGAATTCATATCTGTTTTCCATTAAAATTGAAATTTTATTGAAATTTTGACAACAAAATGTTTGATGAAATTTATCAATTTTTATTTCTCTATTAATAATTAAAAAAAAAAAAAATGTAAACAATTTATTTCTATTCGAAATAAGTACGAATCAAAAACTTTGATAAATAATAACAAAGTTTATTTTATTGACTTTAATTTACTTCTTCTTGTTCATTTTCAAAATACACTCATAAAATTATAAAATATTTCATTCAGGAAATGGAAATGAAAATGATGAATGATTTAATTAGAAATGCTCATTTTCAAATAAACAAAATGAATTGGGAAGAGAAAGTTCAAAATTTCACTGATAACACTTGGGAATGTTTATGTGATAATGTAACTGATATTACTAATGTTAGTTAAATTTAAATTTCTACTAATTATATAAGTGATAATTTAATAATTAGACAATTAGCTAGGTAATAATAATAACATTATCATGATAATTATTAAAGTTTTATTATTAGCTTAATACTATTTTATCGAATATGATGATAAATTAGTTAAAATTAAATTTGACAATCTAATAAATACGAATTTAATTTTATAACATAATAAATTGAGCTAGGCCAATTTAAATTTTTTTTAAATTATAAATTAGCTAATAAAATTAATTGAATATAAACTTATGTATTATATTTTAAATATTTTTTTTTTTTGTAGATACAAGAAAAATGCATAAATATAGAAAACAAATTAATAAAAATTTTTAAATATATAAAATATGATATCGAATCGAGATTGTCCACTCTGAAATCTGATTCTAATATCAGTTATTTGTCATCCAATCAGTATTATCCATTTTATAATAAAAGTAATAACTTAGAAAATACCTTAAGAGGTAAAGTAAAAGTATAATTATCATTGATTATTGATTATTTAATTACTATTTGTGAATTTCAAAAAATCATTTCAAAAAATTATTTGTTTCATTTAAAACATTATAAAATTGTTTATTGTTTACTGCTTAACGCTTTCTTTTCTTTTTTTTTTCTTTGAGTGATTAAATAATTTTAGAAAAAACATTGGAAAATGATATATTATCAAGTATTTATATGATGCAGCATAGTTTACTTAAAATTGATGCATTTCAAGTAAACAAATCAAAAATTTATTTAATTTTTTATTGCCCTATATCACTAATAAACAATGATATGTTTGATTTTGATAAATTTTAAAATTTATTTTTAAAAAATTTTCATATTTTGTTTATTGATTTATTTGTTTGTTTGCTTTTATTTCAGAAACGAAAAATGGGATTGAATAAATATTGTTCAACGATACGTTTACTCATTTATGATAGAGTTAAAATTAAAAAACAATTATTGAATGTTAAATATGCAAGAAAAAAACTTGCAAATATTAAGCAAAAAATTCAAAATTCAAATTTGATAAAACAACAATCGGTTAAAATTTCCCTTAGTTCAAATTTAAATTTAGCCATTTTGAATTTAAACAAATGTTAATAGATTTTGATTAATTAATAAATTAAATATTCCACAAAGCATTTTTTTTTTTTTTAAACTTGATATTAAATAATTTTTAGCAATTTTTTTTTTCAAAACATTATTTTTATTAGACTAAATGTACAAAAGTAAAAATTTTTATTTTTTTAAAATTCGTAAATTTAAGTGATTTGAAGGACAAATTTTAAATTAATTTTAATTTGGCATTTTAAATTAATTTATTTAGCTGAATAAATGCATAGCAATGTTGGATAATATATTGGCAGCAATGCAATTTATAATAATTGAAATTGACAAACAATTTGATTCAATTTATTCGGTTAATCGATACATTGCATTATTTAATGAGTTGTACCAGCAGTTTCAGCACAATCACCAGGTATTTCATTCAAATTAAATTAAATTGAAATTGGAAATAATTGAAATTGAAAATAATTAAATTAAACTGCACAATCACCAGGTATTCCATTCAAATTAAATTAAATTGAAATTGGAAATAATTGAAATTGAAAATAATTAAATTAAACTGCACAATCACCAGGTATTTCATTCAAATTAAATTAAATTGAAATTGGAAATAATTGAAATTGAAAATAATTAAATTAAACTGCACAATCACCAGGTATTTCATTCAAATTAAATTAAATTGAAATTGGAAATAATTGAAATTGAAATTAAATTAAATTAAGCAATTACCAGGTATTTCATATAATTGAAATTGAAATTAAATTAAAAAATAATTGAGACTGAAGTTAAATTAAATTAAATTACGCAATCACCAGGTATACCATATAATTGAAATTGAAATTAAATTAAAATCACTGAGTTATTTTTAATCTTTTAAAATGGAATTTATTTAAAAAGAAAACAGAAAAGTAATCGATGAATAAAAAAAAGAAATGAAAAAAAAATTTTTTTTTTTTTTTGATAAGTTAGATATTATTTGAAATGATAAAAGATTAGTGCAAATATCAAAGGTTTGAATTTTGATAAAATGCTAAAAGATAAATTGATAATCTGACAAAAAAAACCGATAATGTTTAAAAAAGTCTCTAATCATTGCACTGATAAGAATTGATAATTTTAAATTTATTAAAATCATTTTTTAAAAATTTTTTTACATCAATTATTTTTTCTATTATTACTAAGAAATTTTTAATTTGTGATAAAAAATGTTTTTTTGCAGAAATTTTTTTCGCAACAAAAATGGATATTTGATGAATGAAAATAAACAGTAAACAATAATTTCATTTTTTTAATTTCTTTCGAATCGCTTATTTTCTTTTTTAATCTTAATAAATTTAATAAATATATTTCTATAAAATTTTAATAAAACAATAAAAAAAGGAAAGTATTGCTGTTATTGTTTATTTTTCATTTATTTTCATCAATTGTTTATGATTTATTTAAATTTGTTTACTTTTATTTTATGAAAAAAAAAAGAAAAACGAGAAATTTTAAGTTTTTTCAAATTTTAACTGTATAATAAAGTTTTTTTTGTTTCGAAACTTTCACTTCAAAAAAAAAAAAAAGAAAAGTAAGAAAAAAAAGTTTTACATTGTAAATAAATTAATTATAAAAATAGGATTTATTGTTTTTTCAAACATTAACAAAGAAATTAGATTAATTAATTAGTAAAAAAAAATATACAAATGATAATTTGTTGTGATAAATATTTTATTTATTTTTTATTTATTGTTTATTCAAACATCAACAAAGAAATTAGACTAATTAATTAATTAATAAAAAAATATGCAAATGATAATTTGTTGTGATAAATATTTATTTATTGTCTTTCCAAACATTAAAAAAGAAATTAGATTAATTTCCAAGAAAAACAAACATTAACAAAGAAAAAATTAGCTTAACAAAGAAATTAGATTTATTGTCTTTCCAAACATTAACAAAGAAATTAGGTTACAGAATGTCATAAATTTACTCGTTTGCTCCTCGAACTGTTTTGCACAGTTGTTTCGCATATCCTTAAATAATTAAAAATTGAAATTTTTCACTCATTTTGTGCATTAAATCAAACTGAATTATATTTTTATTACGCATGTTGATTTTACCTTCCTAACTTTTCTTTTCACTTTTTATGCAAACTAAATCTTTTACTGTAAATATTCATGTTCACTTCTTGGACGGTTTGCATAACACTGAGAAGAGACATTTATCAATTGATCTAATCATTGTTTATTTCTCTTTTTTGAGTAAAAATTAAAGAATGAGACCTGGTGGTGGTGCAATGAAAAAATTTGGTGGGAAAAGACGAATGAGATTTAAGCATAATAAAGTTGTTAAACGAAAAGTTTTGAAAGCACCGAAGAAAAAAGGAATGATCAAAGGAAAGAGTAAATTTAGACAGAAGAAAAATAAACAAAGGATGAAGAAAAGATCGTCAGAAAAAAGTAAGACGAATAGACGAAATGAATTGAATCAATTTATGATCATTTTTTTATCAATTGAATTAATTGTGGAGCTAAATATATATATTTAGAATAGGTAAAGCATATGTTGGATAAGTAAAATCAATACTGATTAAGTATAAATTAAGGATTTCAAGTTATAAATTAACTTATAAATAACAAATTAATGAAATCTAGAAGAGAAATAAGCTTAATGAACGAATGAGTGGTAGCTGGAGATAATGAATTTGTCTATAATCCATTGGTGATAAATTGAATAATTGATAAAATTGAATGATAAGTTTAATAATTGATAAAGTTAAATGATAATTGAATGACTAATAAAATTTAATTCAAAAAAAAAAAAAAAGAAAAGTACTGTAAAATATCTTTTATCTATTAAATAAACTAAAGAATTTTACAGTATGCAAAGATTTGACATTAATTTATCATTCGGAACAAATATTATTTTCATTGAAATAATTTACTGATCGATTCCCTTTCTCAATTTCTGCATGTAGCGATCGAATGGATCAAATGCAATGTTGCGAAAAAATGCAATATAACGACCAAATGCGGTGTTGCGGCCAAATGCAATGTTGCGACCAAATGCAATATTACGACCAAATGCGGTGTTGCGGCCAAATGCAATGTTGCGACCAAATGCAATATTACGACCAAATGCGGTGTTGCGGCCAAATGCAATGTTGCGACCAAATGCAATATTACGACCAAATGCGGTGTTGCGACCAAACGCAGTATTACGACCAAATGGAATATTACGATCAATTACAGCGTTGCGATCAAATGGAACATTACGACCAATTACAGCGTTGCGAACAAATGGAATATTACGATCAATTACAGCGTTGCGATCAAATGGAATATTACGATCAATTACAGCGTTGCGATCAAATGGAATATTACGATCAATTACAGCGTTGCGATCAAGTGGAATATTACGATCAATTACAGCGTTGCGATCAAACGCAGTATTACGACCAAATGGAATATTACGACCAAATGCTATATTACGACCAAATGGAATATTACGATCAAATGGAATATTACGATCAATTACAGCGTTGCGATCAATTGCAGTATTACGATCAAACGAAATATTACGACCAAATGCTATATTACGATCAAATGGAATATTACGATCAAATGGAATATTACGATCAAATGGAATATTACGATCAAATGGAATATTACGATCAAATGCTATATTACGACCAAATGGAATATTACGATCAAATGGAATATTACGATCAATTACATCGTTGCGATCAATTGCAGTATTACGATCAAATGAAATATCACGATCAAATGGAATATTACGATCAAATGGAATATTACGATCAAATGCTATATTACGATCAAATGGAATATTACGATCAAATGCTATATTACGATCAAATGGAATATTACGATCAAATGGAATATTACGATCAAATGCTATATTACGATCAAATGCTATATTACGACCAAATGGAATATTACGATCAAATGCTATATTACGATCAAATGGAATATTACGATCAAATGCTATATTACGATCAAATGGAATATTACGATCAAATGCTATATTACGATCAAATGGAATATTACGATCAAATGGAATATTACGATCAAATGCTATATTACGACCAAATGGAATATTACGATCAAATGGAATATTACGATCAAATGGAATATTACGACCAAATGGAATATTACGATCAAATGCTATATTACGATCAATTACATCATTGCGATCAATTGCAGTATTACGATCAAATGCTATATTACGACCAAATGGAATATTACGATCAAATGGAATATTACGATCAAATGCTATATTACGACCAAATGGAATACTACGATCAAATGCTATATTACGACCAAATGGAATATTACGATCAAATGGAATATTACGATCAAATGCTATATTACGACAAAATGGAATACTACGATCAAATGCTATATTACGACCAAATGGAATATTACGATCAAATGCTATATTACGACCAAATGGAATACTACGACCAAATGGAATATTACGATCAAATGCTATATTACGACCAAATGGAATACTACGATCAAATGGAATATTACGATCAAATGCTATATTACGACCAAATGGAATACTACGATCAAATGCTATATTACGATCAAATGCTATATTACGACCAAATGGAATATTACGACCAAATGGAATATTACGATCAAATGCTATATTACGACCAAATGGAATATTACGATCAAATGGAATATTACGATCAATTACAGCGTTGCGATCAATTGCAGTATTACGACCAAATGGAATATTACGATCAAATGGAATATTACGATCAATTACAGCGTTGCGATCAAATGGAATATTACGATCAAATGGAATATTACGACCAAATGGAATATTACGATCAAATGCTATATTACGACCAAATGGAATATTACGATCAAATGCAATCAGCGTTGCGATCAAATGGAATATTACGACCAAATGGAATATTACGATCAAATGCTATATTACGACCAAATGGAATATTACGATCAATTACAGCGTTGCGATCAAATGCTATATTACGACCAAATGGAATATTACGATCAAATGCTATATTACGACCAAATGGAATACTACGATCAAATGCTATATTACGACCAAATGGAATACTACGACCAAATGGAATATTACGATCAAATGCAGTGTTGCGATCAAAGTTTACTTTCACTTTAACCAATGAAATTAACTAAGAAACTTCTTCGCAAGCAATAATTTTCTATTTTCTGTGCCATATTTGCTACAAGGAATTTGAAAGGCTAAAACAATGGGCGCATTCGTACCTCTAAGAAATACGAAAAAGACTATAAGCGCTTCGCCACGGAATTTTCAATTAATTTTTTATTAAACTTACCTATAAATTGGCTGACTCATTTATAGTATATATTCTAGGCTTGCAGTGGCCATAACTTCTGGCTGCTTTCCACATTTATAGGCCTAAGGACTGGAAAAATTTTTTTTTTTTTTTTGGAAGACTTATTTTTTTTTTTTTTTTTTGGAAGACTTATTTTTTTTTTGGAAAAATCTTTGGAAGACTTATTTACACTCTAATGTCTGCCATGTTGATAGCATTGTGCTCACAAGTTGACAATTTGTGAAGGAAAGTTTTTTATTTCACTTTGAATTCAGCTGTTCGCTCTTATTTTTTGATTTCAGTAGCTCTGCTCGGACAAATAATATTTCTTGGAAGGAATAGTTGCTTACTGTTTATTTTCTATAGTTGCTTGTTGTTTATTGTTGCTTACTGTTTATAGTTGTTTATTGTTTATGGTTGCTTATTGTTTATTGCTGCTTATTGTTTATGATTGCTTATTGTTTATTGCTACTTATTGTTTATGATTGCTTATTGTTTATGACTGCTTATTGTTCATGCATAAATTTTACCTAATTTGATTAACTGCATGCTTCTTATATTATTTAGTCATAATTCATTTGCAATTTTAATTTCATTAGTATATGCAGAGATGGCAACCGTTTTTTTCTGAAACAATTAGTGATAACAATAATAATAATAATAAAAGAAATAGCATTAGCAGTGAAAGAAGTGACGATTGAGAAATGATTAACATTACTAGATAATAATGTTTATTATCTGTGATATATCATTGATAATTTAAAGATAAGCAAAAGACGGTTGTTTAGTGTTACCTTAAGCAAACGATAGAATTCATACCTGTTTTCCATTAAAATTGAAATTTTATTGAAATTTTGACAACAAAATGTTTGATGAAATTTATCAATTTTTATTTCTCTATTAATAATTAAAAAAAAAAAAAAAATTTAAACAATTTATTTCTTTTCGAAATAAGTACGAATCAAAAACTTTGATAAATAATAACAAAATTTATTTTATTGACTTTAATTTACTTCATGTGACCAAGAAAAGCACCATCTAAAAGTAAGTATTTGTGTGAACAGAAAAAAAAATTCTAAAATTAATAAGCCAGTTAATTTTTTGTATTAGAAATATGCTTAAAATCAATGATTTTAATCTTGGTTAAAGTTAAAAAAATTTGTACATCATCATTTCCCTATTATTTTGTCATATAAAATTTCCCTATTATTTTGTCATATAAAATTAAGATTCACAGTAATTTGCAATAATATTATGGAAAACTCTTTGCCGGAGAAGATCATATCGATTGTCAAGAAAAATGATAAATAAATTCATATTTCCCGCTAAAAATCAGTTTTGCTACTGCTAAAGCACCTTAAATTTACTAACTATACCGTTAAAAAAAATATATATAAAATGATATGAACTGATAATTTCATAATTTTGAAGCAGCAAAAGCTAAAATTAACAGGCAAATTCATTTTTTCATTTTCAAAAGAGCAGAAGTTAAAATTAACATTCATTATGGATGACTTGAAATTTCAATTTTAAATGAGAAATTGGTAAGGAAATGATAAAATACAAATTTTATCAACCTAAATTAAGGAAAAAAAAATACAAATTTTTTTTTTATATTTTTTTTTTTTTTAAATACAAATTTTATCAACCTAAATCGATTTGATTAAGCATATTTTCACTAGAAAAAATAATTTTGCATTTTATGCAAACTAAATCTTTCACTATAAAAATTCACCTGCATGATAGATAAATATTCCGCACTTTCATTTTTCGATTTTTTTCTAATTTTCTCATCAATCTTTAACAGCTAAAATCCGAATAACTGGATTCTGGAATAACTCCAACTCATATTGATCAATATCATGAAAGTAACCAACGAAATGAAATGCTTACTTCTATATTCAACCGCTCTTTTCCATTGCGAGTTTCTCCCAGTCACTTTTGCTAATTCTCCCGCCGAATTTATCAAGACCACTATGAAATTCTTAACACATACACATTAGCAATAAACAATCCCCCGGTACCAACACCCCGTACCACCATAACGCCATCTTGTTTGGAACAGTAACACATCTGCTCATATATATATATTACTATGGTGGATCTTTGATTATGAATTTGAGTGGATCACACCACAGTTAGCAAAGAAATAAATGAATGACATATATACATGTGCTTGTTAGAGTTATCGATTCACTTTCTGTGCTCAATTTTGCAGATTGGTTATGAATAACTAAGTTAAAACTGTCCACAATAAAAATATCTCAAAATTATTAACTTTGTTACTATCAGAAATTAATTGCAATGTTAATATTAGTGTTCGATGCATAAATGAAATTTAAGAATTTTCAATTTTAATTAAACTTAAAAATATAAGAAAAAGTTCATTTATTGGTAATGTTCACTTCTTGGACGGTTAGCATAATACTGAGAAGAGACATTTATCAATTGATCTGATCATTGTTTATTTCTCTTTTTTTGAGTAAAAATTAAAAAATGAGACCTGGGGGTGGTGCAATGAAAAAATTTGGTGGGAAAAGACGAATGAGATTTAAGCATAATAAAGTTGTTAAACGAAAAGTTTTGAAAGCACCGAAGAAAAAAGGAATGATCAAAGGAAAGAGTAAATTTAGACAGAAGAAAAATAAACAAAGGATGAAAAAAAGATCTTCAGAAAAAAGTAAGACGAATAGACGAAATGAATTGAATCAATTTATGATCATTTTTTTATCAATTGAATTAATTATGGAGCTAAATATATATATTTAGAATAGGTAAAGTATATGTTGAATAGGTAAAATCAATACTGATTAAGTATAAATTAAGGATTTCAAGTTATAAATTAACTTATAAATAACAAATTAATGAAATCTAGAAGAGAAATAAGCTTAATGAACGAATGAGTGGTAGCTGGAGATAATGAATTTGTCTATAATCCATTGGTGATAAATTGAATAATTGATAAAATTGAATGATAAATTGAATAATTGATAAAATTGAATAATTGATAAAATTGAATGATAAATTGAATAATTGATAAAATTGAAGGATTAATTGAATAGCTGATGTAACTGAAATAACTCCAACTTTTCAGATATTTCGGCTAAATCTGCGCCATTTTAGCAAAATAAGTAATAACAAAGAAGAAAATTGAAATCAATTTTATAATTCCTTTGCATTGAATTCGGAGCTGCTTTCTAATAATATTTTCAAATGACAGAGAAGAAAAAGACGGAGGAGAAAAAAGAGAAATTAGAGGGAGGAGAAAAGAAAAAAGAGAAGGAAAAACAAGAAGAAGAAGGAGAAGAGAAGGAAAAATCAGTGAAAAAAGAAAAGGAAAATGGAAAAGGAGAGGAAAAATCGAGGACAGGAAAAGAGCAAGAGTCAGAGAAAAAAGAAAAAGAAAAAGAACAGAAATTTGAGAGAGAAACGAGAGAAGCAATAAAATCAGAAGGTTAACTGATAAAATTTAATTTAAAAAAAAAAACTCTAAAATATCTTTTTTCTATTAAATAAACTAAAGAATTTTACTGTATGCAAAGATCTGACATTAATTTATCATTCGGAATAAATATTATTTTCACTGAAATAATTTACTGATCGATTTCCTTTCTCAATTTTTTATTAATTCACAAATACAAATGGTTTTTTTCCAGTAATTAAATGATTCTGTTTAATAAAAATATAATTGTTACTTCTTTCGTAGTAGTTTGATTTGAAATGGAATAATCGTAATTTACATATAAGTCATTTTAATATTTTTTTATTTTCAAAAAAAAAAAAAAACTTAAGAAATGAGAAAGTGCGAAGGAAGTAAGTGGTTGGCTTGTTATGTTTTGATTTATGAGATTTAATTTTTTTTTTTACTTATTTATGATTTATGAGATTTAAATTTCTCTTTATTTATTTATAATTTATGAGATTTAAATTTTTGACCTCGTACTCTGGTAAATTTCTCTTTTTCTAGCTTCGTATCTTATTGAATAGCTAGTAATTTTAATTAATTGATAGTTGAATTTCTCTTTTTAATTAGTTAACAATTATGATTACCTTTAATTAGTTTTTAAATCTCATGAATCGGCTTTGTCCAGGTGAAATGCAAAAGTTGAAAATGAAGAATGAAATGGAAGCAATTTCAAAAATGAAAAATAAAGTTGGAGTAGAAGAGCTGAAAGAAGATGGCGCTAAATTTAGGGTATGCAAAATTTATTTGACAATTTAACTTGTCCATTTGAATACGATAGTCATTCTGATAATTGGTTGATTATCATATCATATCTTATCATATCACGAAGATATCACGTTGAATTGGTAATTTTGTAAAATAATTTTGTTTCATTTCATTTCATTTTAAATAAACGTATATTAGTGAGAGTTATTTAAACGAGTTAATAAGCATAGACTTGAAATGTTGAAATTGATCAGTATGCATCAGAGCTCATTTTTAATTTTTTCATTTTTAAACTCATTTTTAAGCTTGGACGATTTGGTGCCCAGTTTTTTGCCCCAGTAACAAATGAGCCAAGTGATATTTCAAGTGCTGGTGATGATGATGACGATGATGGTGATGAAGAAGTGGAATCAGAAGATTCTGAAGATGAGAAATAAAACAAGAAATATTGTTTATTGTTTGTAAATTTCACTTTTTGTATATGGTTGGCTTTTTGTTGTTCTTTTTAATGAAAGCCAGAAAAATGTTTATTAAATTAAATAAAATGAATTTCTCATATTACAATTAATTTGAATAGTGCTATATGGCCTTAGGCTTTTAAGATGAATGATTAAATGTATAGCTTGGCCTTACAAGTATAACTTTAATGTTGAAGTGGAAAAATCTAATCTCGAAATACTGAATGAGTCTGATTGTTTAATCAGATTCATTAATCTTTTAGATTATGATCAAATACTTTCTCTGTGATATCATCTGATATCAATCATTTGTGATATGATAATATATTTATGGAATATATGGGATAGACAAATTTTATTGGTGCAAAACACTTTCAATTTCAATTCATCAATTCATGGATTTAAAAAAAAAGATTTACAAAATGTTTGATAAGCAACAATTCTTGATGCTTTCCAACTATTAGAAAACACTGTTTTAAGGATATTGGATGAGTGACCGTTTTGACCATTTTGTGGACATTGGATCTACTGCTAATTTGCTCTAGCCGTTTTTCAAATTTCTTTTTGTATCTTTGTTCAGAACATAAGTATCCAATTCAACAATAGATGGAGCTACAATTTTCTCAATTGTGAATTCCACATGATGATTTGCAGTGTCCACCAGGGTTCACGTTCACCAGGTGGTCCAACTGGTTCATTAGGTTCTGGTTCGTCTCGTTTACCTGGTGGTCCGGTTGGTCCCTTGAAAGTCAGACATAGAAAATATTGAATTACAGAAAGGTATGTAAGAAAAGATGCAAAATGCTCTTAGACAATTCGTTTTGCATTTAAATTAAAAAAAAAAAATTGTTTTTCATTTAAATTTAAATTAATTATAAACCTAAAATGAAGTATAGAATAAATGGCTTCTTAGTGTTATAAAAGGGTTTAATTCAAATATTTTACAATTTTTAATGCAGTTACAATAGTTAGGGAAAAAATGAAATATGCCAAGCAACCATTTCACCAGGAGATGCTGGTGGCCCGAAATTGCTAGATGGAATCATATCTGGTCCTGGTGAACCTTTGGGTCCACGAAGCCCTTGTGATCTTGGTGGCCCGAAATTGCTAGATGGAATCCTATCTGGTCCTGGCGAACCTTTGGATCCACGAGGTCCTTGTGATCCTGGTGGCCCGAAATTGCTAGATGGAATCCTATCTGGTCCTGGTGAACCTTTGGATCCACGAAGTCCTTGTGATCCTGGTGGCCCGAAATTGCTAGATGGAATCCTATCTGGTCCTGGTGAACCTTTGGATCCACGAAGTCCTTGTGATCCTGGTGGCCCGAAATTGCTAGATGGAATCCTATCTGGTCCTGGCGAACCTTTGGATCCACGAGGTCCTTGTGATCCTGGTGGCCCGAAATTGCTAGATGGAATCATATCTGGTCCTGATGAACCTTTGGATCCATCAGGTCCTTGTGATCCTGGTAGACCTTTGATTCCTCTTCCACGATTGTATCATCACCAGGTAGACTCATAATATATAAGTAATAACTTAATGACTTTACTTTACTTTTTTTTTTAATTTACAAATATGCATTATATTGTTCGGTAGTGCATCGATCTCTTCGTATTATTTATTTTCCACTACGATTTTTATTTCTTTGTGGTTCTTATTGTTTAATTGTGCCAGCAAAAATTTCTTTCTAACTTTTTATTAATTTGTATTTTATTTAGTTTCATTCCAACATTATCACTGATCTGATTATAATCCAATTGCAGTATTTTATAGCTAAGTAAAGATTAAAAAAAAAAATTAAAACTTAATCTTTGTCCTTTCAGACATCAATCAAATTACTTTTTATTTTTTTTTTATAGCAGAATGAAATGTACCTTAATGCTAGGCTCACCTTCCTCATCAGAAAAGTCCAGGTGCTTCGGAATCGCCTATCCTACCTCCTTTACCTGGTCTTCCAGGTATGCCGTGATGATCTGGTTCACCAGGTATCCTGGTTCTCCTTTTTCTCCTCTATTTCCTGGTGGTCCTGCAGGATAAATCATGCTTGAAATTCCTTTTTTAATTTGATGCACTACATTTTGCAACAAAGTAGATAAAATCAAAAGAAAAAAAATGATTTAAATGATTTATTTAAATATTAAATATTAAAAAAATTAAATTATAAAAAATTCTTGTGTGAACCAAATTCTGGTTCCAATGAAATATCTAAGTTTGCATTTTCCCTAAATTTATCATTTAATTCTTAATTTATTTCTAATAGATCTACTATGACTTGATGGAAGCTTAGAATTGTTGTCATAAAATGGTTTATAAATAATAATAATACATTGATTATCAGTTAAATTCTCTTAGCATATATTAATTATTTAAAAATTTTTGTCTGAAACCTTTCAGTATTAGAAGTGTTTTTTGAACATATAAGCAAAATTTTAATTTTTTTTAAGAAGAAATTCAAACAATTATAAAACTTTATGCAAATTTGAAATTTGATATTTAAATAAATTAAAAAAAAAAAAAGTTTCATGGTTATTTTGTTTAACTATTACAATAGGAAACGGTAATTTGTGTCTTTACCATATGAAATAAGCAAAAGGTTTAATTAAATGTTATTAGCAAAAAATTTTTGAAAAAATGAATAAAAAATGAAGAAATAATATTGCTATTACAATTATAATAGGAAATTTGATTATTGATTATTTATATTTGGAACTTATAGTAGGAAATTTGATTATTTATTATATATTTGAAACTTATAATAGGAAATTTTGATTATTGATTATCTATATTTGGAACTTATAATAAGAAATTTGATTGTTGATTATCTATATTTGGAACTTATAATAGGAAATTTGATTATTGATTATCTATATTTGGAACTTATAATAGGAAATTTGATTATTGATTATCTATATCTTATAATAGGAATTTTGATTATTGATTATCTATATTTGGAACTTATAATGAGAAATTTGATTGTTGATTATCTATATTTGGAATTATAATAAGAAATTTGATTATTGATTATCTATATTTGGAACTTATAATAGGAAATTTGATTATTGATTATCTATATTTGGAACTTATAATAGGAAATTTGATTATTGATTATCTATATCTTATAATAGGAATTTTGATTATTGATTATCTATATTTGGAACTTATAATGAGAAATTTGATTGTTGATTATCTATATTTGGAACTTATAATAGAAATTTTGATTATTGATTATCACTAAAACTTTATAATTGTCACCAGATACTACTACAATATTTGGAACTTATATAAGAAATTGTAATAGGAAATCTGATTATTGATTATCACTAAAGTTTTATAATTGTCTAGGAATTTTGATTATTGATTATCTATATTTGGAACTTATAATGAGAAATTTGATTGTTGATTATCTATATTTGGAATTATAATAAGAAATTTGATTATTGATTATCTATATTTGGAACTTATAATAGGAAATTTGATTATTGATTATCTATATTTGGAACTTATAATAGGAAATTTGATTATTGATTATCTATATCTTATAATAGGAATTTTGATTATTGATTATCTATATTTGGAACTTATAATGAGAAATTTGATTGTTGATTATCTATATTTGGAACTTATAATAGAAATTTTGATTATTGATTATCACTAAAACTTTATAATTGTCACCAGATACTACTACAATATTTGGAACTTATATAAGAAATTGTAATAGGAAATCTGATTATTGATTATCACTAAAGTTTTATAATTGTTACCAAAACAAGAAGAAAAAGGAAGGAAAAAAAGAAAAAATTTTTTCAGTAATATAATCATTGGAATTGATACTACTTCAAAAATATTACCATATTTTCTGCTCATATTCCGTGTCTTTCCGGATAACAGGATTAAAATATTCCGGTTATGCAGAAACAGGTCAAAGGGCAACAACACGTCAATGAATTACTTCCATCAGTGATACAACAGGAAGATCCAACAAACGATTCACTGTCACCGTTGTCATCTGCTCGTTGCACTGATCAATATCAAAGTGATAAACTGTTAGCTGTAAGTGTTAATGTGTTAACTTTCGAGAAATACTAGTGATAAGGAAGCAATTTGAATATGCCACTTTAAAATGACTGATAAGCAAACTATCAGCTTATCATACACTAGTAAATTAGAAATAATAATGATAAGTTGAATTTTTTTTTTTAATTTTTTCATTTGTTAAAATAATCAGTGCAATTAGTGATATATGATAGTTACAGTATGTTAATAATTCTTCAAAATAACTTTGCAGAATTATTCTCTTCTAGAAAAGCATACTTTTAAAGCGTTGATGGCGTAATCTGACGTAAAAAAAACGTAATCTGACGTAAAAAAAAAGAAAAAAACTATGAAAGAGAAATTTTTACATAGTAAGAAAAAAAATTTTTAAAACAAAAACAAGAAAAAAACTAGCAATTTTAAATTAAATAAATTAAAAAAATTATCATAAAATACTTTAACTGTTGTAGGAGATTCGTAATGGAGTACAATTGCGCCACGTAATACCAAATGATCATAAACAATGCGCTAAAATGCTTTATGATAAAGCATGCGAGAAAAAAGTAATCATTTTGATAAATTTGTTTAAATTTTTTTTTTTTTTTTTCAAAAAAAATATAAATAATTTCTATTTCTATCTTTTTTTTTTTACATTTTCTCTCTTTTCATATTGTTATTTATCTATATATTATTTTTATAAATTATTTAGAAAAAAATTTTTTTCCTATTTTAAAAAAATTTTTTTTTTTTTTTTGCTAATATTTTTTATATATTTATGAGTTATACAGGAAGAAAATAATATAAATGAAAAAGAAACAAAGTTAGAAACGGAAAAAGCAATTAATATTGGAAATATCTTACTTAATGCTATGCAAAAGCGACGACTTCTAATGCATTTTGGTTAATTAACTAATTAATTAATTAATTAATTTGCTTTACAAATAATAGAATGAATTGAAATGACATTTTGTTTATGAAATAAAAATTTTGCAAAAATAACAATGGAAATTTTTGGAGAAAACAGGTAGAAAATAATTAATCTAAGTAAAGAAATGATTAAATAATTTTTTGTTTATTTTAATTATATCTTTAATCAGTAATATTTTTCAATAAGTAAACAAAGAAATTTTTATTTTAGAATCTTCCTCAAGTAGTGACGAGAATATCAATGAGCAGAAATTGGAATTGTGGAGTGATACTGACGATAATTATGATGATAATAATGATAATGATAATAATTACAATGATATTAATATTAATAAGTCAATGAACAAAACACAAATGTAAACAAAAAAGAAATTTACAAAATTAATTAAACAATTTAATTTAATTTTAGGCAAATTTCTATACTGCTAACATTCTGATTGCAAAAGATTAATGCAAACAAAAAAATGTTAAAGTTATCAAGCTGTCACCAATTTGTCACCAAACATTAATTTGATGATTATTTCTTCTACTAATGACATTAATTTAAACTTAATTTAAATTTTCAAAACATCCAATAATACTTAACTAGGTATATATATATACTAAAGTATAAATAAAATATATACGAATAATTGTATTTTTTATTCTGATTGTATATTTTGATCAGAAAAATTTGAATCCATAAATCATTCTGTACTGCATTTTCTCATAACACTTTGCTAAAAAAAAATATGCATTTTAATTTTTGTTAATTTTATAAATTATTAGACATATTGAAATTATTTTTTTTATTATTGAATTATTAGACGCACTGGAATTGTTTTAAAAATAATCAAATTTTAATTCTAACTTTTTTAAAAAATAATCAAATTTCAATTTTAGACAAACTTTTTTTTTTTTTGTAAATAAAAAGAAAAACATTTTGCACATCGAACGATAATAATCATAAACCAACAGTGTAGATCAATGCTATGATGGATAACATTTACTGTTGTAAAGATTGACAGAGTAATAAAAACTGTAATCTTTTTATTTTTATCAAATCATTTTAATTAAATTAATTTTTTTTGATTCAAAAAAAAATTCATTCGAAAATTTGTTTCAAAAATTTTCAATTTAAATGCTTTATAATAAATTATATCAAACTTGCAAATATTAAATCTAATTAAATTAATTGTTTAAATTCATTCAAAAATTTGTTTCAAAAAATTTCAATTTAAATGCTCTATAATAAATTATATTTTAAAGAAACATTTTCCTCCTACATCAAATTTTCTAAATATTAAACGTTATTTCACAGAGAATTTTTTATATTATCACAAATATTTTTTCAGATTTTTACATATTTTCGAGAATTTTAAAAAAAAAAAAAAAACGAATTCTGCAGAATAAATTTACTTTTTTTCTATTAAAATACATACAATGATATGAAGAAATGTAATATCTGTTAGCATTGATTGATCATTTAAATATAAATTTAAAAATAAAAATATAAATTTAAATATTAAAAAAAAATTTAAATATAATAATCAGTACTATTATTACTTTTTATGTCACATACAGGTGAACAAATTTTTGTAACAAATCTGATAAGAAATTAATTACATCTCATAAGGTTATTATTATTATCTGATAAGAAACTAATCATATGTGATAAGATTATTATTATTATCTGATAAGAAACTAATCATATGTGATAAGATTATTATTATTATCTGATAAGAAACTAATCATATGTGATAAGATTATTATTATTATCTGATAAGAAACTAATCATATGTGATAAGGTTAGTAAAGTTATTAATAACTAATTTAAGTTAAAATTTAAACTATATATTTTGTATCATTCACGAGATTAACCTTTAATTCTTAGACAGATATTAGCATTATCACTAATTTATGCTTGACTTACTTTTGATCACTCTTTAGTCTTTATCACTATCACTATCACATGATATGATATTATGATAAATAGTTGAAATTAAGATAAGCTTACTTTTGATCACTCTTTAGTCTTTATCACTATCACTATCACATGATATGATATAATGATAAATAGTTGAAATTAAGATAAGCTTACTTTTGATCACTCTTTAGTCTTTATCACTATCACATGATATGATATTATGATAAATAGTTGAAATTAAAATAAGCTTACTTTTGATCACTCTTTAGTCTTTATCACTATCACTATCATATCATGATAAATAACTGAAATTAAGATATGTACCATTTTCCTGAGGTATAGATATTATTGATGCAATACGTTGCATTCGATCACTTATAGCTAATTCCACGTATTCTGCAGCGTACGAGTGTGAATCATAAATAGCACTGATAAAGAAAATTGATAATAATATAAGAAATGAAATTGTTAGTATCTAAAAAAAAAAAAAAAAAACATTTGGAAGGTATTTGTTTCATATACTTTCATTTTATTATCAATTTACAAATTCAAATATTAAAAAAAAAAATTTTACATTTCTTTTAATTTTACAAATTTCATTCCATTTTTTTCTTATACTAAAAAGAAAAATAATTTTTATTAATTTAATATTTTAATTTAATTAAAATATTATTAATTTAATAAAACATAAAATTTTATGTTTTATTTAAAAAAATTTGTCATTTAATTCTAAAAATGCATTTTTTTTTTAAAAAAACATTAAAAACCACAAATGGTTGTAACAGTGCTGTTTTCTCGACGATAATTCCGTAAAATAATAATAAAACAACAGATAGTATCAGTTATTCCCAATTCCATCCAATATTTGACAATGCAAATGCTTTTAGAATCAAATTGCTGATGATCAAAAACGATGAAATTATTGCAATTGCAAATGCACCCTGCTGAGAAATGCAAATCATCGTTTATTATCAATATATTTATCATTGTTACTAGTATTATCACTATTATTTATCATTGTTATTATTATTATTTATCATTGTTACTAGTATTATCATCATTATTTATAATTGCTACTAGTATTATCACTATTATTTATCAATGTTATTATTATTTATCATTGTTACTAGTATTATCATTATTATTTATAATTGCTACTAGTATTATCACTATTATTTATCACTGTTATTATTATTGTCATTATTATTTATCATTGTTACTAGCATTATCATTATTATTCATCATTGTTATTGTTATTATTATTATTATTTATCATTGTTACTAGTATTATCATTATTATTTATAATTGCTACTAGTATTATCACTATTATTTATCACTGTTATTATTATTGTCATTATTATTTATCACTGTTATTATTATTATCATCTATTATTATGGTTATAAACTATAATTGTTACTAATTTATAATATGCTCAAAAGTTATTGTATTCATCTTTGCATTAAATCTCATTTTTTCATGTTCAAAAGAAATTTTAATTCCCTTTTTTTTTCTTTTTTAAATTTGATAGAAATGCATTTACTTTAATATGAACAGAATAGCAACAACATCGATATTTGATATTGTTATGATTAAATGGAACATTTTGTGATTTAACTTTAAATATTTTTGATAGCAATTTATTCGTTTACTTCTTTTGTTCTCCTGAAAAAAACTACTGAACAATCATAGATTGATTTAAAGAATATCAAAATTTGAAGAAATTATTTACGATAAAATAAAGAAAAGATTTTAAGAAAAGGAAAAAGTACTTCTCTTAAAAAATCTTAAATAAGTATAAAAAAAAGCAGTAACATCTCTTTGAATGAAAAAAATATTTAATGCTAATGCAAAAATTAATCGAAATAATTCAAATTCTTAGCAAATTTTTCTTTAATTTAACGAATTTGGATTTAATTTTAAAAACTTTTTTAATACAATTTGTTTACCTTTAATATTAAATTACTAGCAAACATGTATTCAACACATATAAATAATTCCAATGTTTATTAAGAGAATTACCGATATTAAGATTTAAATTTTTAGATATTAAAAAGTCAAATGTAAAAAAAAAAAAAAAAAAAAAAAATAACAAATTTGCTTGGAATTGTTTTCTTATTGATATTAATCAATTTTAATCATAGAAAAAATGAACGGAAATAATCAATTTTTAAATTAAAACTAATATTATTTAATTGCAAATTAACAGTAACTAATTGCAATTTTCTTTTATAAATAAAAATTTGGAAAAAGTTGAAAAAAAGTATAACAGTACCTAACTTCGCTCTTTCTTTGCTTTAGGTATTTTTTTGCGCAATAATTGGTAGAATGCTTTGGCCAGTTCTCTTTGCTTGCATGCCTTGGCCAACTTTCTTTGCTTGCATGCTTTGGCCAACTTTCTTTGCTTGCATGCTTTGGCCAACTTTCTTTGCTTGCATGCCTTGGCCAGTTCTCTTTGCTTGCATGCCTTGGCCAACTTTCTTTGCTTGCATGCTTTGGCCAACTTTCTTTGCTTGCATGCCTTGGTCAGTTCTCTTTGCTTGCATGCCTTGGCCAACTCTCTTTGCTTGCATGCCTTGGCCAGTTCTCTTTGCTTGCATGCCTTGGCCATTTCTCTTTGCTTGCATGCCTTGGCCAACTCTCTTTGCTTGCATGCTTTGGCCAGTTCTCTTTGCTTGCATGCCTTGGCCAACTCTCTTTGCTTTAGGCATATTTTGTGATGTTTGAATTTTGATGCTAAGACAATCCTAATTGAACATCATAACTAATGTAAGTGATAATGCGCAAAAGTCATGTTAGAAAAGTGTGGGACAAAGTAACCCACTAAAAGAAAAGGCAACTTTTACAGAGGGGAAAATAAGTAAATAAACTTTGATAACGTGAGGAAAAAGATACTGAGATATGTAGAGTTTACCCTAAACTTAATATATATTCTCTTCAAAAGTTAACGATTCTGCACTTACCTGGAAATTTTATACCATTTTTTTTATACAGAAGAAAGCATTTTATAATAGACAAATCCCTTGTCCTGGATTTTTGGGTAGGATTTTCCATAATTCCCCGGCAAGAAGGGTAAGCACAGAAGATATACTAAGTTTAAGGTAAACTCTCTTTAACAGAAAAAAAAAAAAAAAAAACCTGGAAAATAGAGTAGATTGTATCCTTAAGTTATATCATTTAAAATAAGTTCTTGGGTAGGTCAATAGTAGCTCTGCACCTACCTGGAAATTTCTCCAAAGTACTCTTTGTTAGAATGGATGATATGCTTTTTTTTCTTTTTTCTCGCATGATTCTGACTTTAAAATTTTTATTAAGATTAAGTTTTCTATATTGATATTATTCCAGCGTGATATGAGTAATATTTATCATAAGCGAATGAACTAAACTAATAATTATCGAATATTTGATTTAAAAAAAGTTTAAACATAATTAATTTAAATTTAAGAATGAATCACTATTACACGCAATTACTTCATTAATTTACAATGACTATAAAAATTTATGATTGAAACAGGAATGTATTGTAAACAGTAAACAGAACGGTTAGTTTGAGTTTAGTATCACGGAGAAGGAAGGAAAAGAGAAAGTGGACGAATTGAGATTTTATTGATTTCTCATTAGCTAATTAATTAGCACTTTGTATAATTTTACTGTTAACTTCAAATGATACTATTTGTTTACTTTTACTATTAAATTACTAGCAAACTTCTATTGCAAAATTTAAATATTTCTTACCTCTTCTCTCTGTCACTAATTTCTCTTTTCAATTTCAAACTAATAAATGAAAATTTACTTTGGCAGAAATATTATTTGGTTTTAGTTGATCTTTTTAAAAAATATATTTCTCACTAACTAATTTCATTATCTTTACTGCTGTGTAATTTTAGTATGGAAAAAATTCAAAAAATGTTTTCTTATTTCTTTTTTTAAATTTTAAATTTATTTAAAATTTATTAGTAATAAAATTTTGAAGTTTTAAACTAAACAGCGAAAAGAATAATAATTGTATGTTTTTTCAGCACAAAAAAAAAAAAAACTGCTAGCACACTTTTTCTTGGTCAATGGCATACGAAGAGTGAAATATTTAGCAGAAAATGAAGGAAGAATGAAATGAAGAAGAAATGGAAAAAGGAATTGGTATTTCGGGAACCGGAATAAAGAGAAGAGTGGGAAGTTCTACCTGAAGAATGACACGGCTGCTCTACAAGATGATAGAAAAACTTGAGGTGCTACTGGTAGCACCAATAGAGGTAAGCGGTATTGAGGGATCAATCTTATTGCAACTCGAGAAATCAAGATTAATCTCACTGCAACGCGAGAAATCAACCAACCTCAATGCAACCCGAGAAATCAACCTCAATGCAATCCGAGAAATCAAGATTAATCGCAATGCAACTCGAGAAATCAAGATTAATCTCAGTGCAACGCGAGAAATCAACCAACTTCAATGCAACCCGAGAAATCGTCCTGTAAATCTTACCTTATTTCATGAGAAAGAAATTAAAAACAAGCAACAAATTTTATTCGTTGCATGAAATGGACAAATTTGAATAAATCGAAATTTATTTTGGAATATTAAAGATAATCAGAATCTCTGTTCCATCCATTCATGCAACAATGATTGCAACGATGCTAGAAGTATTTCACGTTGAGAATGCTTGGGGACAATTGCGAAGACAGTTGGAAGTATCGTTGGGAAGCAGCCGTACAGCATGATTTCGAGAGAAATATCAATATCGAGAAACCTTATAATATTGGAAAACGATCATGTTTCTGCAGTGTTGCGATCAAATATAGTATTGCGGTCAAATGCAACGTTGTGGTCAAATGCAACGTTGCGGTCAGATGCAACGTTGCGGTCAAATGTAGTATTGCGGTCAAATGCAACGTTGTGGTCAAATGCAACGTTGCGGTCAAATGTAGTATTGCGGTCAAATGCAACGTTGTGGTCAAATGCAACGTTGCGGTCAAATGTAGTATTGCGGTCAAATGCAACGTTGCGGTCAGATGCAACGTTGCGGTCAAATGTAGTATTGCGGTCAAATGCAACGTTGTGGTCAAATGCAACGTTGCGGTCAGATGCAACGTTGCGGTCAAATGTAGTATTGCGGTCAAATGCAACGTTGTGGTCAAATGCAACGTTGCGGTCAGATGCAACGTTGCGGTCAAATGTAGTATTGCGGTCAGATGCAACGTTGCGGTCAAATGTAGTATTGCGGTCAGATGCAACATTGCGGTCAAATGCAACATTACGATCAAATGTAGTATTGCGATCAAATGCAATATTACGATCAGGTGCAGTGTTGTGACCAAATGCAATATTACGACGAAATGGAATATTACGATCAATTACAGCGTTGCGATCAAATGCAGTATTACGACCAAATGGAATATTACGATCAATTACAGCGTTGCGATCAAATGCAGTATTATGACTATTACGATCAAATGCAGCGTTGTGATCAAATGCAATATTACGACCAAATGCAGCGTTGCGACCAAATGCAATATTACGATCAATTGCGATATTACGATCAAATACAGCGTTGCGATCAAATGCAGTATTATGACTATTACGACCAAATGCAGCGTTGCGACCAAATGCAATATTACGATCAATTGCGACATTACGATCAAATGCAATATTACGACCAAATGCAGCGTTGCGACCAAATGCAATATTACGATCAATTGCGACATTACGACCAAATGCAGCGTTGCGACCAAATGCACGATCAAGTGCAGTGTTGCGATCAAATGCAGTGTTGGGCCAAATGCAATATTACGATCAAATGCAATATTACGACCAAATGCAGTGTAAAGACCAAATGCAGTGTAAAGACCAAATGCAGTGTTGCGACCAAATGCAGTATTGGGCCAAATGCAATATTACGACCAAATGCAGTGTTGCGATCAAATGCAATATTACGATCAAATGCAGTGTTGCAACCAAATGCAGTGTTGCGATCAAATGCAGTGTTGCGATCAAATGCAGTGTTGCGACCAAATGCAGTGTTGCGATCAAATGCAGTGTTGCGACCAAATGCAGTGTTGCGATCAAAGTTTACTTTCACTTTAACCAATGAAATTAACTAAGAAACTTCTTCGCAAGCAATAATTTTCTATTTTCTGTGCCATATTTGCTACAAGGAATTTGAAAGGCTAAAACAATCGGCGCATTCGTACCTCTAAGAAATACAAAAAAGACTATAAGCGCTTCGCAACGGAATTTTCAATTAATTTTTTTACTAAACTTACCTATAAATTGGCTGACTCATTTATAGTATATATTCTAGTCTTTTACTTCTACGCTTACAGTGGCCATAACTTCTGGCTGCTTTCCACATTTATAGGTCGTGGAATTTTATACTTTTGATTGATGCCTGAAGAATTTTTATAGTTTCATTTTAAGGAAGTAAATTTTGCCGAATTCATGAAGCGAAATTTGAAAATAAATTAGGATAAGATATATGTACAGAAAGACGATTTTATAGCTTTTAAAATCAGTGAATCTTAATTTTCAGCATTTTTAAATTGATGTCTGTTAATGAAAGTAATTGAATTTTAAAAATGCCCTAAGGACTGGAAGAATTTGTGCATCTTTGGAAGACTTATTTTTACACTCTAATGTCTGCCATGTTGATAGCATTGTGCTCAGAAGTTGACAATTTGTGAAGGAAAGTTTTTTATTTCACTTTGAATTCAGCTGTTCACTCTTATTTTTTGATTTCAGTAGCTCTGCTCGGACAAATAATATTTCTTGGAAAGAATAGTTGCTTACTGTTTATAGTTGTTTATTGTTTATGGTTGCTTATTGTTTATTGTTGCTTGTTGTTTATTGTTGCTTGTTGTTTATTGTTGCTTGTTGTTTCTGGTTACTTATTGCTTATAGTTACTTATTGCTTATAGTTACTTATTGTTTATGGTTGCTTATTGTTTATTATTGCTTATTGTTTATTATTGCTTATTGTTTATTGTTGCTTGTTGTTTCTGGTTACTTATTGTTTATAGTTGCTTATTGTTTATTATTGCTTATTGTTTATTGTTGCTTATTGTTTTTTTTTTTTTTTTTTTTTTTTTTTTTTTTTTTTTTTTTTTTTTTTTTTTTTTATTGTTTATTGTTGCTTGTTGTTTCTGGTTACTTATTGCTTATAGTTACTTATTGCTTATAGTTACTTATTGCTTATAGTTACTTATTGTTTATAGTTGCTTATTGTTTATTATTGCTTATTGTTTATTGTTGCTTGTTGTTTCTGGTTACTTATTGCTTATAGTTACTTATTGCTTATAGTTGCTTATTGTTTATGATTGCTTATTGTTCATGCATAAATTTTACCTAATTTGATTAACTGCGTGCTTCTTATATTAATTAGTCACATAATTCATATACAATTTTAGTTTCATTAGTGTATGCAGAAATGGCAATTTTCTTCTGTAATATCAGTAATTCTATATAAAAATTCATATTAATGAAATCATAATAATAGTAATTAATAATAATGGTAAATAATAGTAGTAATAATAATAATAATAAATGTCCACAAATGTTGACAAATTCGGTGCTATTCATCATCCCATATCAAGCAGTCCTTCTTTGTTATCATTATTATCAGTTATCAGCTACTAATCACTGATTACTGATTTGAATGCAAAAATGTATCGGTGCAATTCTTCAGGAAATTAACCACCAGAGCAGAATCAAAGATTGTAATGCTGCAAACAACCTGCACCTGCAGAAATTGACGAAATAGAAATGGAAAGAGAGAGAGAGAGAGAGAGAGAGAGAGAAAGGGTGTGGAGATAAGGGAAGCAATGATTGTGACGAGGAAAGGATGGAATAGTTAATGAGTTTAGTTGGGAGATTGAGATAAGGAATATTGGGTCAGTTAGTTAGTTTCGTTTACGTAAGAGACGGAAAGGAGTACGTAAAGTTGTTACGTCCGTTACGTGAACACATCTATTGAAAAGTGTTAATTTTTTAATGAAATGAAATGTTAATACTAAATATTTTCAATCCATTTACACACTCTTTAAAGCATCGTAAAAAAAGTACTATGAGGTGAATTTATTTACTTTCTTCTATTCAAATATTCCATTTAAATATTAAATGGGGTTTGATTTAAATTCACTAAAATATATTCATGTTTACGTTGAAAGTTACGTGAAATACGATGCGTGCTGTGTACGTTCAACTTTTCTTTAATTTGTAATGTTGAACGAAATGAATTTTGACAATAATTTTTTTTTTTTTTTTCTGCTGATATTATTTTTGTTGTTTGTTTGTTTGTTGTTAACAAGAAAGTTTTGTTTACTTCAAAAAGGCATTTAATGTATGACGTATTTTTTCGAAAAGCGTATAAGTTAATTCTATTTTAAAGTATTTTGAAGTAATAATGATTTAAGGATGTCGCTTGGACGGGTATCCAGTCCGAGTGGTGTTAGTGAAGCAAGTCAGTCTTCATCATATTCAACCAACCAACAGGCAAGTTTCTTCTTTTTTACTGTATAAGAATTTGGAGTAAAATTCATTTTCTTCCTTGAGGATGACTCATCAAATTTAGGTATTAAAGTTGGAATATTCTGATAAGCTAGTATTCGTCATAGCAACGAAAATTCATTAAATGCAAATAGTCTGCTATAATTAACAGTAGTATGATCGGTGCATTCATGAAAACAACACCTTAATCGTTGTCCTATTTTATTACTGGTTTTTAACTAATCCTCTCGCTTCAAGTAGAGCATTGATTTGTTTGTCAATAATCGTTTCAGAGAAGTAGGAAATCGATGAAACTATCAGCTTCACTTCGAAGTCCACCAAGGATACCTTTTAAGCATCTCACTACTGTTTATGTTAGTTAAATTTTATATTTTTGATATACGATTATTGATAAAGTCTTTTTATATTTTGTTCATTTAACCAATTCGATTATGACTATTATAAAGTCTTTTTGTATTTTATTCAATTAATCAATTCGATTATGACTATTGATAAAGTCTTTTTGTACTTTATTCAATTAACCAATTCGAATATGACTATTGATAAAGTCTTTTTGTACTTTATTCAATTAACCAATTCGAATATGACTATTGATAAAGTCTTTTTGTACTTTATTCAATTAACCAATTCGAATATGACTATTGATAAAGTCTTTTTATACTTTGTTCAATTAATCAATTCGATTATGACTATTGATAAAGTCTGTTTATACTTTGTTCAATTAATCAATTCGACATAACCATATGCCACATGTAATTGTTCTCTGTACATCTGATTGAATATGAAACTGAACAAGATATTTCATATCTTTTTCCCTGTTTTAAAAATAAGTTATGTTTTAGTCTTGAAGAATCGTTTTCATTTAATCATTTTTATTTATTCTAAAATAATATCCATGAGGAGTTATTTGTTCAAAAATTTTCAGGAAGAAAAAAATTTTTAATTTTTCACAAATCACTTTTTCTCATTGTGGTACGCGATAATTTTCAGATAATTTATGAAAAATTACATTCCTTAGAAAAAAAGATCGAATTCAAATCGCAATTTGGTATTCCAGGAAGGACATAAGAAGACAATATATGGTGTTGCATTTAGTCCGTATCTTATTTCTAATCCACATTTTGCGACTGTTGGAGAAAATCGAGTGAGGTTTTTTTTTTTTGTTTTCCTTTGTTGAAAAAGCAATTTTTTTTTGGAGAAGCAGTAAAAGTGATTGACTTTCTAAAATTTTGCTTGTTTTTTAAAATAAATCATTGTTATTTAATATGTCAGCAGATTATTTTAATTTTCTTTAAACCTCGTTTTTATATCATGTGGTTGTGATTTATGTTCTGGACTTGACAGATTTGTTTTTCGGATATTTTGGTAGAAATGATAGACGAACAAATGTAATTCTTTAATATGAAATTAATGTAGATTTCTTTTTCTTAATTGATCTTACAGTTGATTGACTTCTCAGTGCTTTACGGACAGAAATAAACGTATTAAAAACCTTATTATATTGTATGCGACTGTTGGTCATTGATGAAAAATTGTTATGATCCAGATAAATTATGCATGCGATCAAAAATTATTTTTCATTAGTCTTCTAACCATTTAATTAAGTTAGTTAAAATTATAGATATCGATATATGCAGTCATGAAAGATGGAAACGGAGTAAAGTTATTGAGAAGTTTCCACGATTCAGCGGTGAGGAAAAATATCTTTTACATTTAGTTAAGTATTGATAGTAAGTGTTTGCTTACATTTTATTTAAAAAGTTTGAATTTCTCATTGTTAAATTTGGCTTCTTTTCTTCAGAAAACTGAATGGTTTTTCACCGTCTGTTGGGCATATGATACTGAAAATGATGTACATGTCGTGATTGCTGGTGGAAATCGAGGTATTATACGAGTAATTGATGTCGTCACGGGTGATCTTGTTAATGTTCGTCTGTTTATTTCTTTTGAAACTATGTTTCTAAAGAATTTTAGCATGTAATGTAACAACAAATCATTGTTATATGTGGTTATTGTTTTCGAATTAATTACACATTTCATAAACAACATTTAAAATCATTTCAGAGTTTGATAGGACATGGTGATGCTATAAATGATGTTCGTGTTTTTCCAAATGACTCCATGATCATTGCTTCAGCTAGCAAAGATTTCACAGCTAGGATATGGAATATTCACAACAGTGCTTGTTTAGCTATTCTTGGAGGAGTTGAAGGCCATTTGGATCAAGTTATATCAGTAGTAAGCTTAGAGTAAACAATTTTCTAGCACTTTTCATCTCAAAGTTTACACAATCATTTGTAATTTCAGTACTCTTTTAAAGCAAATGTGATACTGTTATTTGTTTCTTAGGAGTTATACATTATCTGTTAATTCATATCTTTATAATGGATCATTATTTATCACATAAAATGTCAGAATTTAATTTAATCTTTGTTTTTAGGATTTTGATGCTGAGAGTGAGTATTTGGCATCGGCAAGCATGGATCATACAGTTAAGTTGTGGTACGTAGGAAAGGGAAGTGGTGTTGATCGACTAGTTGAACAGTCTAAAGCTGATCTCAGAGTAAGTAATTTCTTGCATCATTTTTTTGTAAATACATTGAATAGAATTGCTAAGCGAATGAATTATTAAGCAATTAAAAAATCCATTTAAAAAAAAAAAAGTTGGCGTAACCAGGAGCTATTATTAATAATACATAATATGCAATAATTTTTTTTTTTTTTAAATGGTTAATTTAATTACTTAACTTGTCTCCAAATGTTTGCATGTCATTTATTATTTGAAAAAAAAAAAAAATTCTCGTACTGCAGTTTTAGCTTTTATTTATAAGTGTTTATTGTTTGTAATTTATAAATTAGTTAAAAATATCTTTCTGATGTTACCGAGAATGTTTTGCAGCTGGTTGATTTTCCAGCCGAAATACATTATCCTCGTTGTAGCACTCGTGATGTACATACCAATTATGTTGATTGTGTTCGTATTTTTCATAGGCTTATATTTTCCAAGGTAAGTAAACTGTTTTCATTTTTCATATTGTTTAAAAATACTTCTAAGTTATTATAAGTATTTGGAAATTGAACGGAAACTGATGACTGGAGGGAGAAATAAGAGGAGTTTTGCATATTCATGTAGTTAGAAATTGAACAAAAATTAATTTCAGTCAACTGAAAACGAAATAGCTTTATGGAAATTTGGTGATTTCGATGATTTGGTCGCTGGACAAGGTAATAAGGTAAAAACTGAGACATGCGTTATTCATTTTCGTCAAATGGAATTACCGGAAACTAATATGTGGTATATCAAATTTGAAATTGATCCGTTGGAAAAGGTAATTTCTTCAATTGCTATTTTTGTCTTCATTTTACTAAATCCTAGTTGGTAAAATCTTGAATCTAATTTTTGTCTATCATTGTTAGTAATGGATAAAGTTGATGAGAAATGATGAAATGGGTAATACTGATAATACTTTAATATGTAGAGATTTACATTGTTTTATTTCTGAAAGCAATATGGATTGGAAATTGGATAGTTTTGATGAAGAAATGAAAAAAACTTATGAAAATAAGCGCTTTTTTTGTCTTTTCTGTCTTGAATTTTTCTACTATTAAGTTTCAGTATCTTGTCTGTGGTAATCAAAAAGGTGAAATTCACATATGGGAGATTAACAATGGTTCACTACCATCCGTAAAAAGGTTTGTATTGGGAATAAGGCTTGTTTATTTTACTTGAAAATTTTTTCTTAAAATTTCTTGTAAGTCAAATATATCTCTGCTTTATTCTTTTCTTAGATGGTTAAAATTTTATAAATTAGTTATTTTAGCAAATCTTTTTTTTTTTTTTTTTTACTTTTTTTTGGTTTTCTGAAATATATTTTCAGTAATCACGTGTTGCATCCCAAAGATGTTGGATGTGCTATAAGGCAGATTGCATTTAGTCCGTGTGGTCAACATATGATTGCTGTAGCTGATGATGCAAGTATATCCAGGTTTGCTAGAAGGACGTGAAATGTAAATGCTCATCTGATGATTAATATATTCTGCAAATGTGATTTCTTTTTATTCATGAATACTACAAATTAATTAGGCAAATTCAAATGCTTAGAAGTTTTAAATTTTCTGACTTTGAAATTATTTCGTATCATTTCCACGGGTACTTTGTGTGTTTTTGACCTTTATTTGTTGTCACTTCATTTTTTTTTTTTGAAAATATAAAAGCACTTCTACCTCATATTGTTATGTCTTAAATTATATTTACATTTGATTTGTTTTTTTTTTTTCTTTTTGCTAAAGTTTCATCCACTTTGGCATTTGTTTTGAACTATTTTCAATTTGTGTTACTCTGATCAAAGTAAATGCAAAAATGTTTTTATTTGTTGAGCAGCACAGTTCATCCATTCAATAACGAGTGAATATATGGATTTATTCAGAAATATCACCTACTTCGTGAAAGGTAATAACTCCAATAAACTATATTAAATATCGTAAATAAACTCGGAAATAATATTATGGAAATACGATCTATGCGGTCAGCTGTCCAACTACTTGCATATTTCCGGAAAGATAGATGTACTTTTCGTAGTTGTTCATTTCTAGAAGTACGAATATCATTCGAATCCAAAAGTAATGTTTCTTCTTTCTGATTTGAGCGAATCGCACTAGAACTCATATATTTTTATTCAAATACTGAAAGACTAAAATTTAGTAACTAATTTCAAACTTAATTTAGCATAATGAATAAAGCTTACAAGTAACCTTAGCGAGAATGTCTTATCATGAATCTGAGAAGTTAACTCTGTCTAATTTGAGGTTATTGCTGATAATTTCTAAATTTTAGATCTATATAGATGCAATTTTTCTTTGATTAAAAATAGAGAGAGAGAGAGAGATGTTGTAAGCATTGTGTTACTATGAACTACCAACCTTGTAGCATCCCCTCCGATTATACTTCGATTTATTATGCGACTCTCAGATGGCAGGAGAGTTCTTGTATTTATCCATGGATCGATTGGGCTGTTTTAAGAATTCATTTTATTATAACTTCGAATATTTCATTTCATTGTGAAATAATCATTCAAAATTTCGAAATTTAGAATTTCATCTCAAGATGATTAAATAGAAAATGGATATACATTTACCTGATACTTCTTATAGTAATATTATTTTCAATTTCTTTATGACATGTGATTGGTGAATGTTTACAACTACCATGTATCGAGGATGATCGATAACGTTTCTTGAGAGGTTTTTTCACTGTAGTGATCTAAATTTTATTACATAAATGTAATTATCTTATAGATTAAGATTTATTTCAGATAGAAGATCGAAATAAATTTTATTTATTTCTAATAATATTATAATATTTATCCTTTCAATTTATATTAAATGATGAAATTATTAAAAGTATTTTGTTTTAGATGTATAACTTCTGGAATGGATGAATTCGTACAGTGCTGATGAAGTAGTGATGAAGTACGTCCAAATGTCAAATGTCTAATGTTAAAATTTAAATTGTTAGTTTTTATTTTGATAAATAATAGGTTAAAAATTTTAAAGTTTTAACATTAAAACATTAAAATTTTACTTCACTACGAGCATTAATTGAACCGATAATAGCCAATTCAAGAAGTGAGCAAAAAACAAATGAAAGGCACGATAGCATCCAAACATCTAAAATAATTATAATATGCAATATTATTATTATTATTGTCTTCAAATTTTTTAAAAATTGAATTTTTTGAAAAAAAAAAAAAAAAGAGCAAATAAAAATTGATAATTTATTATGATAATATACTAACCAAATGCTTTAACATAACTGACACGTGGTAAATTTCGCATAATATTACCAAAATGAAATGTAAGAGCAAGAAGTGAATTAACACCAAGCATTGTACGTGCTGGGATCATTTTGACACTTAGACAAAAACTAATCCAACTTAAAATGAATTCAGGAAATATAAATTATTTGAATAATTTCAATGAAGAAATAGAAATAGAAGTGTGTACACAAATTCTTATAACTCTACACTTTTCATTTAAATTCTAAATATATATAATCTCTTTTGCTACATTTATCTTACATATTTTTTTGTTGAATCAAAAGTTAGTCGTAAATTTTCAAAATTTATAAGGAGAAAACTTAAAAAAAACGAATTGAGTGATTGCTTGATAACAATGCATACTTGATGAGTAAAGATACATTGATTTACTTACTTCATTTTTTTTTTTTTTTTTTTTTCATCTATTTTTATAGTAAACTATTAATTTATGTAATAAACTTGTGGAATTAAATTCCTTTGTAATAAATTGGTAAGTTATATGTCTGAATGATGGATGGACTATGCAACTGATAAACCTAAGAAACTATGCTTGATAAATGTGATAAATTGATATGCTATGTTATCTACCTGATAAACTGATATATTGTGTTATCTATCTGATAAGTTGAGCTATGTATCTACCTGATAAACTGATATGCCATATATCTATCTGATAAATTGATATATTGTGTTATCTACCTGATAAATTGATATGCTATGTTATCTACCTGATAAATTGATATGCTATGTTATCTATCTGATAAATTGATATGCTATGTTATCTACCTGATAAATTGATATGCTATGTTATCTACCTGATAAATTGATATGCTATGTTATCTACCTGATAAATTGATATGCTATGTTATCTACCTGATAAATTGATATGCTATGTTATCTACCTGATAAATTGATATGCTATGTTATCTACCTGATAAATTGATATGCTATGTTATCTACCTGATAAATTGATATGCTATGTTATCTATCTGATAAATTGATATGCTATGTTATCTATCTGATAAATGTGATAAATTTATCATCCATATATTTTACCTGATAAATTGATATGCTATGTTATCTACCTGATAAACTGATATGCCATATATCTATCTGATAAATTGATATATTGTGTTATCTACCTGATAAATTGATATGCTATGTTATCTACCTGATAAATTGATATGCTATGTTATCTATCTGATAAATTGATATGCTATGTTATCTACCTGATAAATTGATATGCTATGTTATCTATCTGATAAATTGATATGCTATGTTATCTACCTGATAAATTGATATGCTATGTTATCTACCTGATAAATTGATATGCTATGTTATCTACCTGATAAATTGATATGCTATGTTATCTATCTGATAAATTGATATGCTATGTTATCTACCTGATAAATTGATATGCTATGTTATCTATCTGATAAATTGATATGCTATGTTATCTACCTGATAAATTGATATGCTATGTTATCTACCTGATAAATTGATATGCTATGTTATCTACCTGATAAATTGATATGCTATGTTATCTACCTGATAAATTGATATGCTATGTTATCTATCTGATAAATTGATATGCTATGTTATCTACCTGATAAATTGATATGCTATGTTATCTACCTGATAAATTGATATGCTATGTTATCTACCTGATAAATTGATATGCTATGTTATCAACCTGATAAATTGATATGCTATGTTATCTACCTGATAAATTGATATGCTATGTTATCTATCTGATAAATTGATATGCTATGTTATCTATCTGATAAATTGATATGCTATGTTATCTATCTGATAAATGTGATAAATTTATCATCCATATATTTTACCTGATAAATTGATATGCTATGTTATCTACCTGATAAATTGATATGCTATGTATCTACCTGATAAATTCATATATTGTGTTATCTAACTGATAAATTGATATGCTATGTTATCTACCTGATAAATTGATATGCTATGTTATCTACCTGATAAATTGATATGCTATGTTATCTACCTGATAAATTGATATGCTATGTTATCTACCTGATAAATTGATATGCTATGTTATCTACCTGATAAATTGATATGCTATGTTATCTACCTGATAAATTGATATGCTATGTTATCTACCTGATAAATTGATATGCTATGTTATCTACCTGATAAATTGATATGCTATGTTATCTACCTGATAAATTGATATGTTATCTACTGATAAATTGATATGCTATGTTATCTACCTGATAAATTGATATGCTATGTTATCAACCTGATAAATTGATATGCTATGTTATCTACCTGATAAATTGATATGCTATGTTATCTATCTGATAAATTGATATGCTATGTTATCTATCTGATAAATGTGATAAGCTTATCATCCATATATTTTACCTGATAAAAATGGTAAGATAAGTTGGAACATATGCCTGAAATATGTACCATCCATAACGTCTAGTAAATGTGAATGTCATCGTTAATTCATTCCAAATCCCAGCTGGATAAGACTGTAATATGAATTTAGTAATACTAACAAAATTTTTGAAAAATAAAAAAAGCTTTGAATTAATTAGATTAATTACTTATATTTAAATTGTTTTCGTTTGAAATTCTTAAATCGAAATTCTTGAAATTGTTTTTATTTTTGATGAAAGTTTATTTAAATTGATATATGTGATAATTGAATTAATATATATGATGATAATTCATTGTTTTAAAACTTTCTTGTCTATTTTATCATATATCAGAAATAGTAGTCTTTTTTTTTAAAAAAAAAAAAAAAATTAAAATGCTGTGATTTTAAGTACATTTAAATTAAGTATGATAATATTGTAGTTGATATTAGTTGATATTGACATTATTCAGTGATCAAAAAATTATTTATAGATTTAAATATTCGAAATCAAATCATATAGTTTTTACAATGAGTATTAAAATTAAATTAGAATTAAATGAAATTAAAAAAAAAAAGAAAAAAAATACCACAAGTGCAATGGATGTATTGTAATTGCTAAGCACAAAATCAGGTAGTAAAATTTCATCTTTTAAAAGTATTAATGGTTCTTTTGTATTAATCCATCGCATATCAACCTCCTAAATGAAATATTTAGTGAAATTTCAATGAAAACAAAAATGAATTACTAAAAATGCAAGCAAAAAAAAAAAAAGCTGATAATTTGATATTTAGAAATTATTGATTATTGATAAGATGATAAATCATTCCATTAACAAATTATCATTGTTTGTAATTAATTTTATAATATTGTTTCATGCATTGATACAATTCTACAAATCAACCATCTTCTCTCTCTCTCTCTCTTGCTGAAATAGTCGATTTTAATTTTAAATTTAATTAAATATTAATAAACTTTTTTGATTTTTTTACTTGACTAATCTGAATGCAGAGAAAGCAAAATGAGAGAACATATTTATTCAACTAATACTTTACTTTTTTTTTTTTTTTATTAATGTTTAAATAGATTAAAAGATTAAATTTAATATATTTTTTTTTTAAAAATGAACTTTCTAATACTTTTCATTAATATGTTTAAATAAAATTAAATTTCATATATTAATTTTTATAAACTGAACTTTTTCTAAGTATTTTGTAGGAATTTTTTTTTTTTTTCTAAATGTAAAAGAATGGAAAAGAAAAGATTTTACCAATTTAATAAAATGATAAATTTATTTTTCTTGAAATTTTAAAATTTGAAATTTGATAAAATGATAGTTCATCATACCTGATTATTGTAACTGAAACTTTCAAATGTTAGTAAGCATGTCTGTTCATCCATTGGAAATGATGTGAAATCCATTTGACATGGACCTTTTACCTGTACTCTGAAAATTTTTGAATTTATAATAATTTGACAAACACAGTTATCACTAAAAAATCCATTTTATCAATTTGACAAATAAAATTGTTATCACTACAAATCCATTTTGCCAATTTGAAAATAAAATTGTTATCACTAACCAATCCAATAAATAAAATTGTTATCACTAACAAATCCATTTTACCAATTTGACAAACAAAATTGTTATCACTAACAAATCCATTTTGTCAATTTGACAAATGAAACTGTTATCACTAACCAATCCAATAAATAAAATTGTTATCACTAACAAATCCACTTTGTCAATCTGACAAATAAAATTGTTATCACTAACAAATCCATTTTATCAATTTGACAAATAAAATTGTTATCACTAACAAATCCATTTTGTCAATTTGACAAATGAAACTGTTATCACTAACCAATCCAATAAATAAAATTGTTATCACTAACAAATCCGTTTTGTCAACAATACTAAATTACCTAACAGATTAAAATTATTCTAATTTAAGCTTTCATTTTTTTGCATAAGGATAATTCTTAAGAAAATTATAAAATATTTTTTGAATAATTATTCAAAAAAAAAAATTTAAACCTGTAATTAGCCCATACAGTACCATTTGGATAAATCATAAGAAAAAGATTTGTGAAAGGTGATCGATGTATATTGGCTGATTTACTATTAATGAATACTGTATTAGGTTTCCAAATTTGATCTAAAATCTGAAACTTTCTTTTTTTTTTTTTTTTTTTTTTTTTTTCTGTAAACTTGTAAATTTGTTGAAAATAAATAATAGTTAGTACTGTTTAAAGGAAAAAAAATCATAAATAATAGATGATAATAAATATAATTGAAATTTTATTCGTAAAATTAGAAAAATATAAATTTAATTAAAATTCTATTCGTAAAATTAGAAAATATAAATTTTTAATTAAAATTTTATTTTTAAAATTAGAAAAATATAAATTTAATTAAAATTCTATTCGTAAAATTAGAAGTGCTCCAAAAATATTAAAACTTTATTGATTTATCATATATTAATTTTAATAATAAGTAATATGAAAAGTTTGCTATAGCAAGAATATTAACAAATCAATAAATCATATGAATATTGATCGATATTGATTGATTGATTGATTGATTGATTGACAGGATCATCTTGACATTATTAAATTTTAATTGCACATCATATAAATGTAATTTTCAAAAATTTTTTTCATCTTTTTAATATTAAAAATTTCTTTATCACATTGATATGATAATATGATAAGTTAACAGAATTATCTTGATAGAATCATCTTGACATTATTAAATTTTAATTGCACATCATATAAATGTAATTTTCAAAAATTTTTTTCATCTTTTTAATATTAAAAATTTCTTTATCACATTGATATGATAATATGATAAGTTAACAGTGACTTATGATAACTTATCATGATAAGTTACCTCATTGCTAAGTGATAAATTATATTTGCATGGATTCATATCATCATATCTTAGTGCTTTATCAATCCATAATTCAGTTACATAAATATCCATGTCAAAATCGGATGTCATTTCATTTACTGAATTTACTTCTTGCACCCATACCTAAATAATTTGCATTAGTAAATAAAATTCTTAAAAATATATTTTCATCAATTTTTTTTTTTTTTTTTTTTTTTTTTTTTTAGTAAATTTATCATCGCTTATAATTAATTTATACAAATTTAAAAGAAAAAAAAAAAAACCTTTAGAAATAATTCTTTTCAAATTTTAATCATTTCAAAAGTTTTTAAATTTTAAACATAAAACCTCAATCCAAACAGTGACACCTTCCTCTGATGGAGTTTTATGCGTTTTATATCGTTTTAGCAAAATTTCAATTATTTTTTTATCGGACATACAACTGTGATCATCAATTTCATTGTATTCAATGTCAACAATCGGTGATTCTACTTAAAATAATTAATTGATTAAATCAAAATCTTAAAAATTAACCTTTAATTATGATTAAAATTAATTAGAATTATCAAAAAAAAATTAAAATTAACCTTTAATTATGATCAAAATTAATTAGAATTAGCAAAAAAAAAAAAAAAATTAAAATTAAACTTTAATTATGATTGAAATTAATGAGAATTATCAAAATTATTATCATTTTTTTTTCTTTTTTTGTTTCAATAAACAATAACAATAATTTTCTAATATCTAAATAATTATACTTAATACTAATTACGTTATACCTTCAGCAATAATTTATTTAATTGATTTTAATATTTGGCATAAATAATCATAACTGTTAAATATTTTCATACAATTTAATCATGGAATGTAAATTATCAGTGATAAATATCAGTTAAAGTAAGCCTGAACTTAGCTCATTTGATGATAAAGTTATCCTGAAAATCCTGAAATGAACTAAATATGCATTCAATTATGATTACTGATAATATTATCAGAAAAAAACTTTTAACAAATGATCATTTAAATTATCAGTGATAAATATCAGTTAAAGTAAGCCTGAACTTAGCTCATTTCATGATAAAGTTATCCTGAAAATCCTGAAATGAACTAAATATGCATTCAATTATGATTACTGATAATATTATCAAAAATTTTTAAAACAAATCAATTTTAAAATTTGCAATTAAAACAATAAATAATTGATTTACTTACCTGTCACACTGTCATCAATTATTTCGAGTAATTCTGGTACATCATTTTTGACAATTGTTTGTTTTAGCTAAAAAGTAAAAAATGAAATTTAAAAAAAAAAAAGAAAAAATTGTTGATAGATTGATTGATTGCATTGGCATTAAGATTTTTTATATTATAAAAATATTAATTCATGCATTAAATTATTAAAATTTCATTCCAAATTATAAATTAAATTGAAAAGTTAATTAAATTTTGTTATGCTAATTTCAAACAAATAAATTTTATTTTAAGCAGTAAATCGATTAAAAAAAAATATGATTAGATCGATTAAGCATTAATTAGCAATGAAAACTTTTTTTTTTTTTTAAATTAATTTCTTTTGAAATGAAATTGAAATGTTATTGGATGACCTTTTGCAAATGGTTAATTAAACAATGTTAGAAATAATTTTACTGTATGAAAAAATAAAAAAAATAAATTTGTGAATGAAATTAAAAAATGGTAAATTTGTTATTAATTTTGTTATACTTTTTTTTTTTTTTTTTTTTTTTCAATAACCTTTTGAAAATTATTTCTGAGTTCTGTCAATAATTTGTTGTTTTGAATATAAATTTCCCAATGATATTTCTGTAAAAAAAAAAAAAAAATTAAATTTTAATTCTTCAAATAAATTATAAAATTTATAATGAATAATTCTAATTTGCTTACCTCAAGATCCTCTAATCCATTTTGAAGATTAATCATATCATTCTTATCATCATCCTTATCATATCGTTTCTCATCATTGAAATTTAAATTGTCACATAATGTCAACTGCCAATACATCAATAATAGTGAAATACTATGAATACATATGGTATACATGATAAATTGATTGCTGCATTGAATCTGTGATATAAATAAATAAAAAAGGTTTATAATTAAATATAATAATTTGAAAAAAAAAAAAATTGCATAATTAATTTTATAAAATTTTGATTTTTTAAGCAATTAAAATGTAAATAAAAATTTTTAAAATGTCATTAAAGAATTGAGAAAAATTCGTTACAATAACTTTTCTTATTTCTTAATTAAATTTGGGTAAACTTTTTTTTTAAAATTTATTTTTTTTCTTAAAAAATAAATAATGGAAATGTAGATTTGCTTGAAAATAAAATAGAATTTTTTTTTTTTTCTGATTTGAGTAAATAGTATCACTGTGATATGATAAAAATGTATGCATGCATGCATGCAATATCAGCAAATCTGCAACTTTTGAACTTTTTTATTTATAAATAATATTTGCTACATTAGTCTACCACCACTTATATTACATTTTAATAATTAATATTTGATTGCTGATTTCATTTTAAAATTAAAATTTTAAAGTTTCATTTTGAAATTTGATTTAAAATTTTTGAATGAGAAAAAAAAAAGCAAAAACGATAACATCGATTTACATTTTACATTTTATTACCACAAAATAAAGAAAATTAAAGGATGATAATAATAATAATAATGATGATGATGATGTGATGATGATGATGATGATGATGTGATGTGATGATGATGATGATGATGATGTGATGATGATGATAATGATGATGATGATAATGATGATGATGATGATAATGATGATGATGATGTGATGATGATGATGTGATGATGTGATGATGATGATGTGATGATGATGATAATGATGATGATGATGATGATGATAATGATGATGATGTGATGATATGATGATGATGATGTGATGATGATGATGTGATGATGATGATAATGATGATGATGATGATGATGATAATGATGATGATGTGATGATGATGAAAAAGTAGTCACAGCAATTGAAATTAATTTCTGCAAAGTTAAATGATGATGAGATATTGAAGTGTTAGTTAACTTTCCTTTTTTAGTGCCTATAATAGGGGAAATAAGTATTTTTAATAAAATCGGATGATGAGAAGATAAGGAAATGTAGGAAATAAAATAATATATTAGCAATGCCCTCTCTCCCTCCCTCTCTCTATCTCTCTCCCTCTCTCTCTCTCTCTCCCTCCCTCTCTCTCTCTTCCCTCTCTCTCTCTCTCTCTGTTTTGAATGATAATTGACTTTTCTATATAAATTGAACGAAATAAAAAAAATTGAACGAAATAAAAAGAGAAAAGATTGAAATTTTTAAAGATGCTTAAATTTGATTAAATTGTAAAAGAGTGAATGAAATTTAGAGATTTAATTCTCTCAAAAATTTTATTTTTTTTTTTTTTTTTTTTTGTATTTAATTGATTAAATCATAAAGTGAAAAAATGCTTGATAAAATAATATTTTAAATTAGCAAAATTCAAAATTAACAATCATATATCATTTGATAATTTATATAATTCTTAAATTGTTAGACTACTTAATTAAGTTAGAAATAAATTACGAATTAAAAAAATTAATGGTTAAATTGTTAACTTGTTTTTTTTTTTAAACTTTAAAAATAATTTTCAATTTTTTAGCTGAAATAATTTGTAATTAAAATTAACAAACCATTTTTGCTGACAAATTTAGCCATCACCTTTTGTAAGAACCGGAAAAAAGATACCGGAATTGAAATTAATGGTTAAATTGTTAACTTGTTTTTTTTTTTAAACTTTAAAAATAAATTTCAATTTTTTAGCTGAAATAATTTATAATTAAAATTAACAAACCATTTTCAATGACAAATTTTAGCTGTCAGTTTTTGTATGGACCGGAAAAAGAAACCGGAATTGTTATATCAAATGTGCATGATAAAAGTGATATTACCGCCATTAATCATAACAAACTGATAAAAGAATTTAAAAAAAGAAGGAAAAAAAAAATTGTTCTAAAATTTGTTAGCTAAAATTTGATAGCTATTTGAATATTAATGTATAGATTGAATTGAAAAATAAAAATAAAAATAAATAAATAGAACAAAAGGTTTGGGCGCAAATGAGCGAAAGAAAGAATCTAAGATTGATAGAAAAAAAATAGACAAAAGAATGGATAAACTATTTGTTTGTTTTTTTCTCGAAGACAATAAATGAAAAATTTATGAATTATTTTTTTGGCCAAAAAAAAAAGAAAAAAAATATTTTTTTCAGCCAAAATATTTTTTCATCTGATAATTTAATTTAAAATTATTCTTCAATTCTTTTATATACCATTTTTACAATTCGTACAATCATCAAATATAAAATTAGATAAACAAATAAACAATTAAATTTCTACAATTGGCTTTTCCTCTAATTTTTTTTTTCAACTTATCATTGATAATTGATAATAGTGTGATCATTTTAAAAAAGATTAAGGAAAAAAAAAAAAGGGAATTCAAAAAGTAATTTCAAAAAATTTTAATGTCATCTTACATGGAATGGCATAGCATGGCATTTAATTTTATTTATTCTTCAAAAAAATTCCTCCTTCTTTTTTCATTTTTTTTTTTTCATTTAAATTTTTTCAAAAAAAAATTTCTTAATAAAAATTCAATCTAAATTAAACAAAAATATACTCGGATATGATGCAAAAGTTTTTTTTTTTTTTCTTTTTTCCCCTATGATCGAAATTTATTATCTAAAATTAAAATTAAAATATATTTCATTTTCGTATTTTAATTTATTTTCAAAAAAAAAAAAAAAAAATTGCTCAATCTAATAGAGAGAAATTATTAATATAAGAATAAAATGCAATCTCAAGAATTAGCTCACAAAATATTGGTAAATTAAAATTGCTAAATGCTAACATTTTAAAAACTTTTTTTTTTTAAAAAAAAAAAAAGAAAAAGAAAAAGAAAAGAGAAGATTTTTTACTAAAAAATAATTTTGCGAAAAGAAAATTGTAAATTTAACTAAAATATATAATTCAAAAAAAAAAAAAAGATTTATGATTTTAAGTAAAATTTTACGAAAATTTTTGCAACGAGTAAAATTATTCAATAAATTAACAAAAGTGATGGTTAAAAAAGATATTTGGGATTAGTTTACAAAAAAAAAAAAGCATAAATAAATTTAAATAGTTAAATAAATTTTGATTTTTAGTTTTGAAAAGAGTTACTTAATAAATGACAAACCGATGTGATTAGCAAAAGTGGAAAAAGTTATTCCTTCTCAAATGAGTGATTACTTTGTACTTTACTTTTTTTAAAAGTTAAATGATAAATTTATATGCTCGTATTACAATAAATGATTTAATGAAGTTTTTATTTAAACAAAAAATTATCATTTTCATATTTTTAATTTACAAAATTTTTTAAAATTTATTTCTTTCTTTTTTGATAATTATTATAAGCAGAAAATTAAAATTAAATTTTTATAATTTTTATTATTATTCATTTGATCAAATGAAAAAAAAAAAAAAAGAAATGAATTACTTAATGATTCTTTAATTGAAAATTTTGAAAATGAAAAATATATTTGAAATCATTTTTGCTGTTTATATTTTCACATTCATTGATTCGTTAATAATAAGTAAAGTTAGATTGGTGTAAAATTTTGAAAATTTTTCATTTAAAATTTATTATGTCAACAAATTATATTCAATGTTGATACTAAATTACTCTTCATACACTTTCAAAAATCCCACAAATTTCAGAAAAAATTGTAAATTTAATTTTTAAATTTTCTAATTAAAAAAGAAATTTTTTTATATTTTTGGTAAATATTCTTACCTGAAAAAAAATGGACGAATCACTTCTCGAAAATGCTTGAGAATGCGAGAATTTGTGATGAAAACGAAGAAATTTTTTTTTTTTTTTAATAGAAATAAAGTACTTTTATTTATTAAATTAATGAAAACAAAACTGATTACACTGATATAAATATCATTAGCATCTTTTTTTTTATCATCTGTTTACAATCATTAACGAAATTATATTGGAATATGTTAAAATTTAGATCAAAAATTCTGGAAAATAATTATAGCATAGCATCTGGTAATCATTATCACTTAACTTAACAAACTGATCGTTATCAGTCTTATTTAATCTTTTTATCTTCAGCTTATCATCTATCCTATAAATACTCTTTTTTCATTCAATTTATTTTACTTTTGGTATGAGAATAATAATAACATTCTCTTTTGAATTGATAAATTACAATTTTGAGTGAACTGAAAAAAGAAACAATTTTGCAAAAAAAAAAAAAAAAGATACAAAATGAAAATCAAAAATAATTACTTTCATATGGTGGAAGAAAGTTTGATGCAAATATGTAATTTAATTTTTAAAAATTAAATGATATATTTTGATTTAAGGGAAAAATTTTTTTTCAAAATTATAGAAGAAAATGATATGAAAGCAATTTATTTGTTTTCATTTTCATTATGAAAAGATGATAAAGAATGTTGTTGCTTTATACTTATCTAAAATCTTTAGGAAAATCCTCTTCCAATAATTGTTATCTGCGAGAAGTCCATATGGCTTAGAAAAATCTAATTTCGCAAGGAAGTATTGCAAAAGCAATTTGACTTTTTAAATTATTGAAATATTCACCATAAAGTTAAAATTAACTGAGCTCATTTCAAATAAGAGAAATTTCATTTGGTAATTTAAATCTGTTCAATTGGAACAATTTGTAATTTTGGTATTCAACATGTAAAAGTGTAAGTAGCAAAAGTTAGTATTACTAATGCATAATTTCTGAAATTTCCTGACAATAATAATAATTATAAAATATTTGAGATTGTTGTAGCAAGATTAAAATGTAACTTTTAGAAAAATCTTAAAAATTAATCCTTAATTATGATTTAATTATGATTAAAATTAATTAGAATTATCAAAAAAAAAAAAAAAAATTAAAATTAAACTTTAATTATGATTAAAATTAAACTTTAATTATTAGGATTTTTCTAAAAGTTACATTTTAATGGAATATAATTCTCAGATATTGTCAAATGTCTGAAATTCTAATTGAACAGATTACATGTAGCATTGATTTGAAAATGTAGAAAAAATTTTTATAAAATAGTCTTATCAAGAAAGAAAAAATTACTACTAAAACTATGATGCATTCTTTGGAGTTCCTGAAAAGTTTGATTAGAGAAAAAATGTCTTTTGAAATTTTCAGATTATAAATGAAACCAATAAAAAGAATAGCTATTTAACTATCAGATTAGACAAGAATTTTATAGGCTAATTATAGTTATAAGTTAAATTTATCACAAAGTTTTTCTCTAAAATTGCTCTTTTACGGATGTATTGATTTGTGTTGGGCTAACTTAATTTTCTTCTCGTTTTTTTCTTTATTTTTCCATTTTTTTTTTTTTTTTTTTTTGCTCAGTGGTAATAAATTGAATGCTTTATCAATGAAATGGACAAATATAAATATTAATGTTTAATTATCAGAAATTAATCGATCTATTGAAAAATGCGAACTTTTTAAGTTAAAAAAAAAAAAAAAAAAAAGGTTCAAAAATGATATTATAATTTTGAAATTATCACAATGGATGAAGAATATTGATAAGGAAACTGAAAATGATATTTGCTATGGATAAATCAATTTCCTTTCTTTGGCTGATTAGTTCATTTGTTTATCTTTTCTTTTACTGTCCTTTGATTCTTTTCTCATCAATTCCGGTTCTTTCTTTTTTTCCAATTCGATTTGCCGGTTTTATGATCTTTCTCTTCTTTAAACACATCGTCGCTTGTTGCATTACATATTCTGGAAATGTCAAACATCTTTTTTTTTTTAAAAAAAAAAAGAAAAAAAAAAACATTCTTTTGTTTTAAGATTAAAAATTTACCAAGAAAAGTGGGAAATTTTCCAAAGTTGCTACTTCAATTTAGTGTTATTTCTCTTTCAGCGGAAAAAAACTGATCTGAAAGCATTTTTCAACTGCGAAATTTGATAACATTTGATATTGGATAGCTTCCGATGGCGCAATAATTTCACGACGAGAATCGCTAATATCGGATGTTTCTTCTCAGTTCTGAAATGGAACTATTGTTTGAACTAAAACATTTAAAAATACTTATCAGTTAGTCGTACTTAAAAAGTTAAATTTGTAGAATTGTTTAAGATTACATTTTTTATTTTCCGTTTTTGTATAACAGATTTCAGATAGTTTGAAAGAACTTTCAAAAAAAAGTGTAAAATTATCAAACTGATCATATAAAAAAAAAAAACTGTCTTTCTTAATATTGCATTTGAGTGTGTACTGGATTTGCTAATTTTACACTAATTAACCAATTTATACGCATAGCTATTATTTGTTTAAATTGCATTAATTTTACAATGTACAATTAGCTTGCAATTATTATCATATTGCATCTATGTATAATTATTAATTTAAGGGAAAAGCACGAAAAGACATTATTTTGCCTTCATTCTATCATTTTTTTTTTTCTTATCCAATCCCTTTTTGAAATTCAATAATTAATTTTCTGAATTTTTTGATACTATTTATTGGCTTTTTGGAATTCTTATATTTAATTAAAATTTAACTTTTTTTTTTGGAATTTTAAAAAATAAATTTAACCTTTTGGAATTCTTATACTGATTGAATTCAATTAAAAAAACTTAAATTAGCTTACTTCTTTTTTTCTCACTGAATTGAAAGTAGAATTTGTATGATATAATAAGAAGAAAACTTGCAGTTCATTCTCGAAAATTGCAAAATTAAGACTGCTTCAATTCCGGCGGAACACAAAACTCAAATCCGTAATTCCGCAGCGCACCACCGAATGTGCAATTAACTTTCAGCGGCGATTTGGTACTTCGCGGTTGGATGAAATAATTGGTAAACATTTTCTAATTTGTAAAATTTCTACAAATTCGTAATTTCTTAGTTGTTTTGTAGGATGTTTCGGTGCTTATCAAATTATTCGAAGGTCATAAAATTAGCAAATGTTCGCTCTTTTCCCACTTATCGTCTCGTTGCTATGAATTCCACATATGAAGCCAACAAAAATGTAAATTATATTTTTTATTTTTAAATTTTAAATGTGCTAAAATTTATTTTGTTTACTCTCACTTTCAGTTAGTTTCACTTTTTTCCATAAAATGAATTAGTACATTTCCAGGATACTTCATCTAAGCGCAATTCGATTAATGATGGCACAAAATATGTTAGAATTGCTGCCATGTTGATCACAGCTCTTGTAAGCTTTGCATTTACTAATAGCTTATTTAGTTATTGTTGACATACTTACTTTAATCAGTGAATAAACTTAGAGTAAATAAACTAATAAACTTTGATTTAATCCTTAACTCTTTGATGTGATAGCTAATACCTTAAATTTTCTTCTGGAAGTCATATAAGTATAAATTGTCAAGACTGCAATTATAGGATGATGGATGATACAGAATGACTAGATAATTCTAACAATGTGGAATTAACAACTAGATAGGAATAACCGAGACTAATTCTACAAAAAGATAGAGATTGAGAAGTTTTTGTAATTATTAAACTTTGTCGTCCAGTTATCAGATTTCATTGTCATTTCTTTGTCGTCCAGTTATCAGATTTCATTGTGTGTGTTTAGTTCAGTATAATTTGTTTGTGTTTAAATATTTTGGTTTATGTGTGAGTTTTAGTTATAATAAAAATAAAAGTTTTAGTTATAATAATCAAGTTTTAGTTATAATAATTTAGTTATAATAATAGCTTTTCATTTTTACATTGCTTTGCTTTTCTTTCAGTGAGACAAATAATATTTTTTTTATAATTTTCAAAGCAAATTTGAAGTGCTTTTCCAATCATTTGATACTTTTTATAGGAAATGATACATTTTGATATAATGCTAAACTATCTCTACCATGCTATGTTTAAATTTATTAAGATTTTTTTCTTTTATATGAATAGCTTTACTAGTAGCATAGCAGTTACTATGCATACTAGTCATCAACATGTAAACATTATTTTATGATTTTTTGGCGCTATGTTTGAAATTCGTAGTGGTTCTTCATTTAAAGTTCACAGAAACGGCAAGCTGATAAATAACGATTGAACATTTGAATATTTCAACTAGAGATTTGTGATGAAAGTCAAATATAAATGATAAACATTGATTATTGACTTTTTTTTTTTTTTTTTTACGTTCAGATTGGTCTTCGACTTATCACTTCCGTATTCGTTGGAAAAAGTCACGAAAGCTTTGGTGATACTTTCAAATCGAATGCTTTTTCATGGCCTCAACATTATAATATATTTTTGTCCCAAGATAGACTGGATGTCAACAATGAAGATGATGAAATTTCAACGGATGACATTTGAAATGAGACATATTACAGTCATTTTACTTATATTTTTTTTCTTTATGGATGGATAACTAATCCATCTGTGACTTAAAAGTTTTCACTTGGCTTTTTTTTTTTTTTTAAGTTTATTGATGCCTTGGAAAAATGTCTCTTAATTGTCCATCCTTTCTACCAGATATCCTACTGGCTTACTCGATGAGCTTTGCAGATTGAATTTTGTAAAGTAATTTCTTATTGTTAATCGATTGACAAAATAACAGTATTTTCATGTCATTCTAATACATCTCAAATTTTATTATAACTTACCGATCAGGCTTTCGAATTAGTTCAAAAATTGTTAATTATCTTATTAAACTGGATTGAATTATTGCGGAAAGAGCTTTTCCCATTTAGGGAATCTGATATTCAGCTTTTTCCATCTTTGTATTCATCTGATTGTGTATTTAATGCTTATGATTAAAATATTTTAATATCGCAGTCTTCAACTTTGATTCCAAACAGTATTTTCTTTTCCAATCTAAATACTATGATAATTAGCAAAACTATTGAATGATTTTGTTTACTGCATATTTATTTTTAAAAAATCGATTAAATGCTACTGTTTTTTCACTAACTAGATTTTGGTTTATGGTGATCGATAGCTTAATTAATGGTTAGTTACTTTGATGCAAATTCTCAATGCTATGCTAATTGATTTATTCAAATTAGGTGAAGTTAGATGGTAGAGTATATTTTAGCATTTTTCAAAAGAACTGAAAAAAATAAAAAAATAAAAAAGGAAAAAACATGAATGTCATGAATTAGCTTTGTAGCTCTCTGTTAATGAATTAAACGGAAAATACTTTGAATATAATCATAATGAATGTTTTTTTTTTTATTTTTGTGATTGAAGTATGCAACTTATCAATTTCGAACATTGTTAGATAATTTGAGACAAAACTCATAAATGAAACAAAATTCACAATAAAAAGGCATAACTACCAGTTCGATCAATATCTATCATTTTTGGTTATTTTTTTCAAAAAAAATTTGGTTATTTTTCAAAATTTCAACTGTCTATCGTGCAATATTACTCTAAGTAAATGAAATGTTTAATGCTAACTTAAAATGTAGACGAAGTTACTGCAATAAAATATAGATAAATGTAAACAATGTTATATTTAAATAATAAAAAGTTATGTTTTTATAGTCCAATGGAATATTTGTAAATGAAAAAATATAAAAGATGTGAAATATAACATTGAAGAGAGAATGTAAATTGTATTAAAATCAGAGGGAAAAAAAAAACTTTATTTAAACTTAAACTAAGCTATTCCATATATTTATGCACAAAACAACGCTCTTCCTATTTTTCCTAAAAAATTTTTGGGAAAAATAACTTTTCAATAATAATTTTTACTTTATCTCTGCTATTACTGAGTTTTTTTGATTAGCTAAAAAAAAAAAAAAATGAATTAGCAATCTGTTTTTTTTTTTTTTTCTCTTTTTGAACTAAAATTAATAAGTATATGATTAAAATAATACTTAAATAATATCTAAAACATTTTGTAGCAAAATTTGCATATAACTTTTAAAAAAATAAAATGCAATTAATAATGAAAATTATTCTTTATAGAAGATATTTCCTATTTGTTTGCCATTTTTTTTTTTTTTTTTGTTTATTTATTGAACCAATCAGTTATTATTTATTGTTTCGGTTGCTTATTGTCACATCATATAACTATCATCATTAATTATAATTTATTTATAATACTACTTCAAAACCATTTCATGTAAAATTAATATGATAAATTTCCGCGAAAAATATTTGACACAAAAAAAAAGAATTTATAATAAATAAAATTGAAATGCAAAAGAATGGCAATTTTTTTGTTTACAGTTTTTATAACTACCATACATAATTCAAAATACCTGTGGTAGTGTATCAAAGATCGCAAACTTTTTTTTTTTTTTTGTTGTACACAAACAAAAAATGTTCTTTAATTTTTCCTTCTTTTCTGCTTTTTTTTTTTTTTTTTTTTGAAAATAAGAAAAGAAATGTTATTGATAATTTTAGTGATATTAATTTGGATTTATTGATAATTTTAGTGATATTAATTTGGATTTATTGATAATTTTAGTGATATTAATTTGGATTTATTGATAATTTTAGTGATATTAATTTGGATTTATTGATAATTTTAGTGATATTAATTTGGATTTATTGATAATTTTAGTGATATTAATTTGGATTTATTGATAATTTTAGTGATATTAATTTGGATTTATTGATAATTTTAGTGATATTAATTTGGATTTATTGATAATTTTAGTGATATTAATTTGGATTTATTGATAATTTTAGTGATATTAATTTGGATTTATTGATAATTTTAGTGATATTAATTTGGATTTATTGATAATTTTAGTGATATTAATTTGGATTTATTGATAATTTTAGTGATATTAATTTGGATTTATTGATAATTTTAGTGATATTAATTTGGATTTATTGATAATTTTAGTGATATTAATTTGGATTTATTGATAATTTTAGTGATATTAATTTGGATTTGATAATTTTAGTGATATTAATTTGGATTTATTGATAATTTTAGTGATATTAATTTGGATTTATTGATAATTTTAGTGATATTAATTTGGAATTATTGATAATTTTAGTGATATTAATTTGGAATTATTGATAATTTTAGTGATATTAATTTGGATTTATTGATAATTTTAGTGATATTAATTTGGATTTATTGATAATTTTAGTGATATTAATTTGGAATTATTGATAATTTTAGTGATATTAATTTGGAATTATTGATAATTTTAGTGATATTAATTTGGAATTATTTGATAATTTTAGTGATATTAATTTGGAATTATTGATAATTTTAGTGATATTAATTTGGAATTATTGATAATTTTAGTGATATTAATTTGGAATTATTGATAATTTTAGTGATATTAATTTGGATTTATTGATAATTTTAGTGATATTAATTTGGAATTATTGATAATTTTAGTGATATTAATTTGGATTTATTGATAATTTTAGTGATATTAATTTGGAATTATTGATAATTTTAGTGATATTAATTTGGAATTATTGATAATTTTAGTGATATTAATTTGGATTTATTGATAATTTTAGTGATATTAATTTGGATTTATTGATAATTTTAGTGATATTAATTTGGAATTATTTGATAATTTTAGTGATATTAATTTGGAATTATTGATAATTTTAGTGATATTAATTTGGAATTATTGATAATTTTAGTGATATTAATTTGGATTTATTGATAATTTTAGTGATATTAATTTGGAATTATTGATAATTTTAGTGATATTAATTTGGATTTATTGATAATTTTAGTGATATTAATTTGGATTTATTGATAATTTTAGTGATATTAATTTGGATTTATTGATAATTTTAGTGATATTAATTTGGATTTATTGATAATTTTAGTGATATTAATTTGGAATTATTGATAATTTTAGTGATATTAATTTGGAATCCATCAATATGATCAATTTTCACACTTCGATTGGATGAAAGACCTGATTTGACTGTATTTTGCTTGAAGAAGCAGTATATTTTTTTTGCGTGACATTGTCAGAATTAATTAAGAGAGTCATTTTAATGATAGTACTACATGTGACAGGTCATGCATAGAACCAAATTTATATATGCATAAATTTAACTAAAATTTACCCATCCCAAATAATTAAGTTTCTATAATCTAATTTTAGTGTGGGAAAAAACAAAAAAAAAACAAAAAACAAAAAACATGTAGCATAAATATTTGTAATAATTTCTAAAGTAAAAAAGTTTTTTCTTTTTTGTTTACTTTTTGATTTTTGAAAAATGAAAAAAAAAAAAATTGATTTGTCAAAATAATTTAAATTTTAGATTGGTTCATTTCAGTTCAATGAAACATGTTAACTTTCATTGTAAATGTCATTTTATATTTAAATGATAGAAATATTTCATAAGTGAAAAGATGCATGCAGTAATACGTTGCAATGCGCAACCTGCATTATGCATGCAGTAATACGTTGCAATGCGCAACCTGCAATATGCATGCAGTAATACGTTGCAATGCGCACTCTGCAATATGCATGCAGTAATACGTTGCAATGCGCAATCTGCAATACGGCATGCAGTAATACGTTGCAATGCGCAATCTGCAATATGCATGCAGTAATACGTTGCAATGCGCAATCTGCAATATGCATGCTTAACTATAGCTTTTACAAATTGCGCACATTCAATTTATTACAAAAAATCGTTGTTGCAAAAAGCAAATTTTTTTTCCAAATTGCTTGCAAAATGTCATTGTTCCGCGTCTTATCGATTGATGATGCTAATGCTAAGTGGATGACGTGAATTTGCTTAAAGGCTTTATGCAAAGACATTTTCGTATGACAAATTGATGTGACAAAAAAAAAAATTGGAACAATAAAGTTAGACAATATAATTGAGTTACACAACATGGAGAGTGAAAAAAGAAAAAAAAATTCGTTTCAAATTGAAATTTCTTAAAATTATTAATTCATCAAAATATGTAAACATTGATTCATTGACTGATTGATTGATTCCTTGATTCATTGATCCATTGATTCATTGATTCATTGATTCACTGATCCATTGATTCATTGATCCATTGATTGATTGATCACGTTTGTATTATGAAATGCTTCATTAATCAATAAGACAAAAAATACACGAATAATTACACGTGATACGTGACAATAACCACAACTGGTTATTATATCATGTGAGGAATATTTTTGCAGTGTGTGATATTTTGCATGAAGATTTTATGACACAAGCAAGAAGATATCGATGACTATTGGGCACAACGATAAACGAGTGAAGACGTGAAACAGAGAGAAGTAGAGAAGAGAAGAATGATACTGATGACTGACCGACCGACCGACCGACCGACCGACCATTCGTCCACAATATTGACAAATCGATCATCTAGGAAGAGGAACGGGGTAGACGGGAGGAATGGGGGTGGAAAGTAGAAGAAAACTATATTGAAATTTTGTCAAAAATATTACTGGTAAGAGAAGAAGAAGAGAGAGAGAGAGAGGGAGAGAGAAAGAGAGAGAGAGAGAGAGAGAGAGAGGGGGGGAAAGAGAAAGATTCATGAAGGGGGACAATACGGCACTCCATTAAGATCGTAGTCGATAGAATATGACAGTTAGACGCCAACTGACGGCAGACGGGCAACTGACGGCCATCTCTCTCTCTGAGGTGCAGAAGAAGAAGAATTTGAATTGTGTGTCGCTGTCTGTTTGTCTAAATGGCTTAACTTGCCTGTGTTTACGTTTTTTCAAACAGCAATCATTGTCTGTCATAACCTTCAACGAGAAATATTTTCACGTTCTCTAATACTTTCAACTTTATGGCACTGCCATACTTTCTTTCTTCCAACAACCAAACAGTTTTCAGTTTTTGAATTCTATTTTGTGGTGGTAATATTCCTTCTTTCATTTGCTTTTTCTCTTTGATTTATTTTACAATTCTTACCTTTAATCATCAATTCTGTCCGGATTTGTTCCTGACGTAAAATGTACATACACATACATACATACATACATACAAACACACACACACACTCACACACATATACTGTTTGTGGAATTGTTTGTTGGATTATTTGGCTCTATGTTGCCATAGTTTTATAAAGTTTGCCGGAATGTTTGATGTTGTTGTTGAATGAATATAAAAAGTACAGAAAATATTGATAAGCTAATTTGATTAATAAGTTAATTGTATTGATAAGCAAGTTTGATTAAGTTAATTATATTGATAAGCATAAGCGAATTTGATTAAGTTAATTATATTGATAAGCATAAGCGAATTTGATTAAGTTAATTATATTGATAAGGATAAGCGAATTTGATTAAGTTAATTATATTGATAAGCATAAGCGAATTTGATTAAGTTAATTATATTGATAAGCATAAGCGAATTTGATTAAGTTAATTATATTGATAAGCATAAGCGAATTTGATTAAGTTAATTATATTGATAAGCATAAGCGAATTTGATTAAGTTAATTATATTGATAAGCATAAGCGAATTTGATTAAGTTAATTATATTGATAAGCATAAGCGAATTTGATTAAGTTAATTATATTGATAAGCAAATTTGATTAATAAGTTAATTATATTGACAAGCAAATTTGATTAAATTAATTAAATTTGTATTATCTATGACATATAAGTTAGACTAAGGTAAGCTAAGGTAAGGTAAGAGAAGGTAAGGGAAGTTTATTTGATTAAATTTGTATTATCTATGACATATAAGTTAGACTAAGGTAAGCTAAGGTAAGGTAAGAGAAGGTAAGGGAAGTTTATTTGATTAAATTTGTATTATCTATGACATATAAGTTAGACTAAGGTAAGCTAAGGTAAGGTAAGAGAAGGTAAGGGAAGTTTATTTGACTTGTGCTAGAGTTTTAATGAAATAATATGATGATGACTCATTCATATATTTATCAGTGATATTTCATTTAGTTTTCAATGAATGAAATTATCAAAAAAGGAAAAAAAAATTTTTTTTTTTCCTTTTGCTCATTTTAGTTAACTTGATAGCAAAAAGAATGATAATTATTTCTTAAAACAAAATTAATTTGTTTTATAATTATTTTTCATTTTTTGTCGTTTCTTTTTTTTTAAAAAAAAAAAAAAAATCCATTATTCAAATTTTATAAGTTATTAAAGAAACAAAAATATGTTTAAATTCAAATTATTATTATTTGCAAAAAAAATTTTTTGTTCTAATTTTTTACAAATTAATGAAATGGTAAATTTCTTTTCTTTTTCTTTTTTTTTTTTTTTTTTTTTTTGTTAAAAAATGTTATATCTTTTTTCATTAGCAGTCATTTGTTTCCTCTTCTTTTATCATCATCTTTTGCTTACTTTGTTGTTATATTTTAGATATTGCCATTTTGTTTGTTTGTTTGTTTATCTTTTTTTTGTTTTTGTTTATTTCTGTAAAAGAAGAGAAAAGCGCTTAACCATTGCAAGCATAATAAACGATTAAAATGGAGAAATTACTGAATAATTGTTTCGTTTTTCTAGCCTTGGATTTTTTTTTTTTATGTTTCATTTTTCAGTTTTATTTAGAAAGAGAGAGAGAGAGAGAGGGAGAGGGAGAGGGAAAGGTGTCACGACATGGATTTATTGTCACAATTGGTTGCCTGCAAACAATCATCAAATGAAACTGATCAAGAAGAGATCAATTTCAGTACTACTACTACTACTACTACTGCTGCTATTGCTACTAATATTAGCTTAAATAGAAATGAAGGATTAAAAATGATGGAATCAGATGTTAACAAAATTGCTGTAAACACAATGAAATCAAATGTAGTTTGTAAAATGGAAGAAGCAAATTTGGAGAGCAATGATTCACCTAAATTTGGAATTGTAGAAAGTTTTATGTTGAAGGTTTTATCCTTTTTATTTTTTGAAAAGTTAAAATTGCATTCATAAATTGATAAAATAAAATTCAAAAAGATTACTGAATAAGTTCTGAAAGCTCTGAAAATATAATGAAAAAAAAAAAAATAAATAAATAAATATTTGAAATAAAAATGAAAAGAAAAAAAAAAAAAAAAAAAGAAATTAGATTTACTCTTCAAAAGATATTACTATAACTTCAGATGGCACCAGATTCAGGTGTTCAAATTTTTCGTTCAAAAAAAGGTTTCGAAAAATTGGCATACGATGGATTCCTGTATAATTTGGATAAGCGTCATCAGAAATATGTCTTATGGCGATGTGAAATGAGCAAAAAACCAGGATATAAATGCAGTGGTCGAGTTCGAATGACCGAAGATTCTCTCGAGGTAAAGTTCAATGTTCTCCTGAACATTCTTGCCGGGTTTGAAACCATTTATGTTGTAGAATAAGATGTTCTTCTCTCTCTCTCTCTCTCTCTCACTCTTATCGAACAGCTATAATTCAACAATGTAAACATATTGTTGATTATTATTTTTTTTTTTTTTTTTAGCAATTTCAAAAATGGGAATTATATGCTTAAGTTGCTACCATCCTTTAGTTTTCTTCTTTTCTGTCTTTGAATTATGAGAGTTTAATATATGATCTCATCTCAATATATAATCTCTCTATAAGAGCTTAATGATCTCACAAACCTGAAGCAGGCAGGTGACCAACTGACTCCAGCTGACCAGCCTGAGAGCAGTCGGATGTTCAGCTGACCAACCTGCTAATCAACTTGAGAACAGATAGGTGTCCAGTTGACCAACCTAAGAACAGTTAGGTATCCAGCTAACCAATCTGAAAGCAGGTAGATATCCAATTGATCAACTTGAAAGTAAATAGGTGTCCGGCTGACCAACCTGAGAGTAGGTAGGTATCCAGCTGACCAACCTGCTAATCAACTTGAGAGCAGGTAGGTGTTCAGCTGACCAACTTGAAAGCAGGTAGGTGTCCGGCTGACCAATCTGAAAGCAGGTAGATATCCAGTTGATCAACCTGAAAGCAGGTAGATATCCAGTTGACCAACCTGAGAGCAGGTAGGTGTCCGGCTGACCAACCTGAGAGCAGGTAGATATTCAGCTAACCAGTTATATGCTTCCAGTATTGTACATCTTAATATACCATCAATGACATTGTAATGAGAACCTGTAAGAAATTTAGAAGTAAACCACTTAGTCATTCTATCCTGTAACATTTGATCAGGTAAAATCAGCCAGATCATCTCTTTATGGTTTTTTAGGTGATTTTTTTTTTTTTTTTTTTTTGAAAAACAGGATTTGATTATGGGTTATGCAAAAGTAACAAATAGCGCCTGCTTATTAGCGCCATATGAATGATTTCAGATGTATAGTTCACATTCACATCCACCAAATCCACTGAAAGTTGTCGCAGATATACTAAAGGCACGACTCTATGCTGCTGCTGAAGATCCAACGAATAGTTCAAAATTTTTATATCATGAAGCTGTTCATTTGGCTTCATTTGCTGGATCTTCAGGTAAAAAAAAAAAAGAAAAAGAAAATTCAATCAAGAAAAAAACTTACGAAAATATATTTAAATTTCAAGTTTAAATTTTTCTTTTTTTTTTTTTTTTTTTTTTTTTGTTCAAATATTCAAATTTACTAAATTATTATTAATCGTAAAGTAAATATGGGAGAGCTGAATAAAGCTTCATTATTATTTTTCATTGGTTAATCGTAAAGCTATATTAGCACTATCGGAGTGATAATATCCTTTCATATCTGAATATTATCGAAAAAAAATAAATTAACTTCCTGGATTTATTTTTTTAGTTAAGCAATGAGTGTTAAAGAATGAGTATATAGCATCATTTCCTGAATTGTTTATTTCCTGCAGTAGCACAGTAATTTCCTGAAAACACTTATAGTTTGGGAAGTTTTTGAAATTACTGTCATCGTTTGTCCAACATATATATAAGAATAAATTTTGAAATTGTTCGTTTTTTTGACGAGAACATTAGACTGATACTTGACGTAAGATTTGACGTAAATAAATTTTTCGACGTAAATAAAATTTTGGTATATACTCTTTGAAGATATTATTTTACTTGCCAAACATTCCTGTAATCTTCAGCTAATATGAACTACACTTATACTAAGCTACTTTGTTTATCAGTTAACCATTTTATTGATCTCCTTGATATGTTAACTTTTATAGGTCTACCAAAACTTGGCTCAATGCAACGGGTGATCAGTCGTAAACGTCGTCACACGCAAAAATTATTGGAAGAAAGTTTAAATCCTACTTCATCAAGTTATGATTCGAGTAGTATTACCTCGACATCAACCTCAAACGATGGAAATTGCTCCATTAGTGATCTTTTGCAGACTGCTGAACGATTGCAGTTCCTTTTCACTCCCTCAGGAGGTAACACTTATGATTTTTATCAATTCGTTATCATCGATAAACAATCTTATCATTGTTTATTGTGCAATGGAAGATTGTATGATTGGTATGGGAATGAATTCTTGATGGTGCAGATTATTTGATTTAACTGTCAATGATCATTTAGCATTGATTAGCAACTTGGCATTTGTCTCCTTGATATGCTTGAAATATCCAAGCGGAATTCTGCACCATGTTTATGACATTTGATTTCTTATTAAATTAATATTTCTATCACAGAACTCAGAGTTGACGTTTTTTTTTTTTTTTTTTTTTTTTTTAAGGATTTAAAGAAATTGAACCTGAAAGAACTAGAGATACGAGTGCTGAATATTGTACCGATGAATGTAGTAATATGAAAAAATCGAAAGCAAATATGGATGATAGGAAAGTTGAGCTGTTGCCGTTGCAGTCATTTTTTGCTGATGCAAGCATATCCGACGAAAAAACGGAATGTTCTTTTAAGCCTTCGGTTAATGATTTTTTTTTTTGTTTTCTTTTAAACTTTTTTTTTTTATAGCATGTTTTTTTTTTTTTCAAACTTTTTTTATGGATAAATAAATTTGGTTAGATCTTTTATCAAAGCTATTATGCCTTCTTTTTGTTACTACTTTTACTTCGTCAGTATTTTAGGAGTTAAATTTATTACACACATACACTTATTATTTTATTTCTGAATTTGTACAATTCTTTTTAAACTTCAGTACATACTTCTTGACTTGACTAAATTTAATGAGTTAGAACTTAATTCAATCAACTATACCAGAGTGTTTTAATTTGAGTAACAAAAGATGAAGTTACTTAATATATCAACCTTAAGGTAAGATGTCATTATTTTTTCATAAAATTTGTGCTGTTGAAAACCTGTTTGCGTTAAAAGAATAAGCGTTGTGTTTTTGGGAGGGGTTTGCGTTACTTTCTCTCTATCAGTTTGTATCAAAATGGTTTGATTGGTTTGGTGCAAATTTTGCAAATAATCATGAGATTTGTATGAGAAAAAAAAAATTTCTAATATCAAAATTTTATCAGAGAGAAAATTTTATCAAAATTTTATCAGAGTAATTAATTATTCATGATATTTTCAGAGAAGTAAACGAATGGAAATTCAGATTCATTTACAACGTGTTGCTCAAGATATCGGTATATCAGATCTTACTTCATTCGATCTTGCAGAAGCATTAGATGATGCAGATCCATTGAAATTTTTGCGTAATGAGTTTGCATATCCGAAAATGAGAACTTTACCACATGGTAGTAAAATTATTTATTTCATTGAGAATTTTTAGACTGTATAATTTAGAATCATCATGATGAGTTGCATACTTGTGATTTAACTATTTTAGTGATTTTAAATGATTGAAATTAAAACACAAAAAAAAAACAGTCATATTGTAGGGTTATTCTCTGAAAAAAGACTGAGCAATGTGATGGTAAACAAAAGTTGAAAAAGTTAAAAATAAAAAAAATGTTATTGTCATGATTTTATTGAACATTTCGTTCTGTTATGCTATTTGCATGAAATTAAAATAGGTAGACCAGCTCTTTTTCTGATTTTTTTTTTCGGATTATTCAGATTATCCGTTTTTTTTTTTTCATAAAATCAGATTATTTTCATAACACTAGTAATGACTTTACTAATTTGTTTTTCTTTTTTTTTTTGCAGTTGATTTATTATTAGTGAACGCTAACGATGATGCCATTTATATGTGCGGTAATTCGTTAGGATTAATGCCGAAAGGTACGAAACATCTTATGGATGAACAGTTTGAGAAATGGGCCAACATGTAAGTATATATTGTCTATAAATAAACTTAAAAATTTGCACAATTGTGTGTTATAATTTCACATTTATTACCAATGTTGTTATGTTGCTTTTCTCAATTAGATGTCTGAGTTCAAGTTTAACAAAGTCAGAAATTTTTCTCATAAAATTTTTCGAAAAAAAAAAAAAAAAATAGTAATTGACATGAAATTTTTGGTTTTTTTCATTTTATTTTCTAATTCTATATGGTGATTTAATTTTAGGGGTGTTTTTGGACATTTGCAAGAACCATTAGCATGGGCAAAAAGCGATCAATCAATACTGGACAGTATTGCCGAATTGGTTGGAGCTCAACGAACAGAAGTAGCTTTGATGAATAGTTTAACTGTTAATTTGCATATTTTGTTGGTAAGTTGGTAATTTCAAGTTGGTAATTAAGGATAAATTAGACTAAACCAAAGATTTTTCCATTTGTTTATTTTTTAATTGGTATCATCGATACTATGGTGTTATATGTAATTGAGAATTCAGTTGTAGCTCGAGTTTCTCTATTTTCCTTATTCCTGCCTCTAAGAATGCAACCCGAAGTCTTTTTCCTCCATGTTTTTCTCTCGATAAGTAATGATTTATATACTTTTTATTGCAGACAGCTTTTTATAAGCCTACACCGAAACGCCATAAAATCTTTATTGAATCAAAAGCATTTCCTTCGGACCATTATGCAATTGAGTCGCAAATTCGTCTAAAAGGATTTGCTGTTGAAGAAAGTTTAATCTGTATGCATCCACGGACCGTAAGTTTTTTTATTCTTTTAATATTTTATTTAGTTTATACTTTTAAGCACTGAAGGATTGATATGAAAAAATTTTTCAATTTTTCAACTTTAAAAATCTACATTATAAATGATAGATTCAATATGCTTTAATTTTCACTCAGCAAATGTAGCTCTGCTAATTTAAGTATTTAAATAACGAGATGTTGCAGTGTAATTGATTGATTGATTAATAGACTACTACTGCTTATTTTAGTTTGAAATATTCATAAAAGTTTCACTAACTATTCTGTAGGGTGATGATTGTATTCGAAACGAAGATATTATAGCGTTAATTGAAGAACAAGGTGATACGATAGCAATAATTTGGTTCAGTGCTATTCATTATTATACGGGTCAACTGTTTGATATAAGGAAAATAACTAAATCTGGACATGATAAGGCAAATATTTCAATCTTTTTTTTTTTTTTTTTTTTTTTTCAATTTTATCTGAAGTTTTGTTAATTTCGAATTTTATAGCTAATTTTTATTTTTCTTCCTGACTTATGTTTATCGTGAAATTATTTTAACATATTTATTCATTGCAATACTATTAGCTAGAAATTAACTAAATTCAATTTCATTTTCTGTTTTAAGGGATGTCTTGTTGGTTGGAATTTAGCGCATGCATTTGCAAATATTCCATTATCATTGCATGAATGGGATGTTGATTTTGCGTGCTGGTGTACCTATAAGTATAGTTGTTCTGGTGCCGGAGGTATTGGTGGCTTTTTTGTGCATAAACGTTTTGAAACGGATAAACGTGAAAGGATGGTTGGTTGGTGGGGTCATAAGGAAGAGACACGTTTCTTCATGAATAATCGTTAGTTTCACATTTGCAAACATTTGACCGTTTTTGGTTCGGATTTTATTTTCATAGACTGTTATAGTTTAGGAATTTTTCCAGAAAATGAAACTTACAAAATGCATAATATTAAGCATCTCTAGCTTAATAGCTAACACCCGATATTACTTACCAAATCAAATAGTAAATTAGATATTACTTATCAAAATATTACAATTACCAAAACTACCTGGGCTTGATGGACTATTTGCTGGCATATACCATGGTTAAATAAAAGTGAAAATTCTTTCCATCAAAATTCCAACTAAATTTGTACCTCACAGCATTGAAGTAAAATTGTTGAAATAGATTGATGTTAAAATTAAGCAAGAAATATTTTGTTTTCAGAATTGGAATTAGAGAATGGTGCAGCAGGTTATCGTATCAGTAATCCACCGATGATGCTTATGGTTCCATTAATTGCTTTTTTAGATGTAATAGCGCTTTTATTGATTTCACAGTGCAGTATATTTTCTTTTTCTTTTCAAATTAGAAGAAAATTCATGTTTGATAAGCTATTAATATTGATTAGATAAAATGTTTTATGTAAACTATTACTTTACATATGTAAAAAATTCTATATTTGATATTGGCTCGATTTGTTACCAATATAATAACTTAAAAGTTGACAATAAAATTTAGATAATCTTATAATAATTTAATACTATTTGATTTGAATATGCAAAAAAAAAGTGTTTGACCGTTGACCATTTTTTGTAGGTGCTTTCGAAAACAACAATGCAAGATTTACGAACAAAATCTTTATTACTTACCGGTTATTTAGAATACCTCATCAATCATTTCCTCAGTCCGTCTTCCTTAAATCGAAGGACTAAAAAGGTTAACTTTTTTTTTTTTTTTTTTTTCATTTTCTGAAATAATTGATATTTTGCGTGTCGAATATTTTTTTTTTTTTTTTGTTTGTGTAAATCATTTGTGATTTTTGAATCAATAACACATTTCATCTACTTGTTATGAGCTATATATAAAGTGATACTGATATTTTATACTTGTAAGAAATGTTTTTATCTTTAAATTATTAAATGATTTCTTTTTTTTTTTTTTTTTTATCTTTTACTTTATTATTTCAGATAATGTGTACAATCATGACGCCATCTGATCCTGAGCAACGTGGATGCCAGCTTTCGTTGAAATTCAATATTGACATATCACTTGTGTACAGAGAATTAGTTAAAAGAGGTGTAGTGGTATGTTCTTAATAAAAATTATACATAAATTTGAAAAAAAAAAAAAAAAAAAAAAAGGAATCTTTTTTCTTTATAGATAGTTTTCCATAAATTTTTCAAGTTTGAAAAGATTGAGTCTAAAAAAAGAAAAATTCTATAATTTTTGATTTAAAAATTTTTAATTTTTTAGATTGATAAGCGATATCCTGATGTGATACGTGTAACACCAGTACATCTGTATAATAGTTATACTGATGTTCATCGATTCATGCGAGCATTATTGGATTCATTGATTGTTGTTGAAGGTGATTATGAGAAATTATTGTGATCTGAACTTTTTTTTTTTTTTTTTTACTAAAAAAAGATTAGAATTGTATTTAACAACTATTCACAAATTTTTATTTTTTTTACTTCTAGAAAATTCCTTTTATGTCGTATGAATATGAGAAATATGTACAGATTTTTTTTTATATGGTATTTGATAAAAGTTATTAGTATTTGTTAGAATTTGATGCAGTAAATTATAAATCTCATAATTTATCCATAACATATCAGTGCTTAAACTGGACAACATTCTTATAACTTTTTTCTCATCTAACACTTAGAATATTTAATTAATTAATTTCCACAAAATGGCGGAATCTTGATTTAATTAATTAATTTCCACAAAATGGCGGAATCTTGATTTAATTAATTAATTTCCACAAAATGGCGGAATCTTGATTTAATTAATTAATTTCCACAAAATGGCGGAATCCTGAGATGATGTAAATTAGGTTAAATGAAATTAAAATTTTGCTTATACAATAACAAATCTAAGCTCTAAGCGTTATTCTTAGCTCAAATCACTGAACATTAATTAGGTAGAACAGTTAACTTTAATTGTTTGTGGTAGTCGAATGATCTAGCATAATTTTACGGAAACTTTTCAGTTAAGCGAAATGATCATAATACGGAAATATGATCGTAAGTAAGTAATAGATGTTAGAGTAATAAAGTAGCAGTAATTTTGGATGAAGCATAGAAATTCAAGAAAAATGTTGAAAAATTATTTTAACCAAATATAAATTGTAGAAATTGATTGCATGTTTGTTTACCCTTCAAAATACAAAATTTACCCAAGGATCAGGTATGTTTGTTATTTACCTATCATTCATATGCATTTGCTTTGGAAGCTTTGTTTTCTGTTTTAAAAATTTTGTGATAATTTAAGTAATTTCTTTTAATTTTATATACTGAAATAAATATTATTAGAATAAAAGTGGTATGAATGGTTTTAATAGATAAAACTGCAAATTGATAATTAAATTGATGTTAATCCATCTGTCAAATGATTGAACAAAATTTGTCAAACTTAAGTTTACTAGTGAAATCAGTGATTTCCAAGTATATTGTTTTTTTTATTTTTTGTTTTTTTTTTTTGTTCATAAATTTCAAATAGTTTAATAATTTTTTTGTATGAGAATTGTAAATTAATTAGTTATGTGACGAAGCTGATTAATTTTTATTAGCATAAATATGATTTTAATTACTTTCTTACTCATATATCAATTTTAAAAATCTTTTTTTTTATCGGGCAATTTTCATTTGCAAATTTAAACTTTTTTATTTGTTGTTAAATTATTCTTCTGCAATTTAATTTAATTCTGTGACAAACAAAAAAAAAAGTAGAAACTTGAAGAAAGAGGAAAAAATTACTGACGAAAATAATATAATGGAAATTGGTAATTTTTCAATTAAAGTATTTTTAATTGCTTTGGATAAAATTAAAATTCAAATTATATATATTTCGTTCTGAGAAAAAAAAAAAAGAAAAAAAATTTTTTTTTTCCAAACAAAATTGCTTGATAAGAAAATATTACTGAAGAAAAAAGTATATATGTCTTCATGAAATGGAAAATTACCAAAGTAAAAAAAAAAAAAAATTATTTGCAGAAAAGGCAATTTTTTAAATTTGAGAGCTTTTTGTGGTTGTTTCTTATCTCAGTAAAAGACATTAAAATTAGCAGCAAATGATAAAAACTGGAAATGAAATAAAATGAAATTAAATTAAATTAAATGAAATGAAATGAAATAAAAAGGAAATGAAATAAAATGAAATGAAATGAAATAAAATAAAATGAAATGAAATAAAACGAAATGAAATAAAATAAAATGAAATGAAATGAAATAAAACGAAATGAAATAAAACGAAATGAAATAAAATAAAACGAAATGAAATAAAACGAAATGAAATGAAATAAAAAGGAAATGAAATAAAATGGAATGAAATAAAATAAAACGAAATGAAATGAAATAAAAAGGAAATGAAGTAAAACGAAATGAAATAAAATGAAATAAAATAAAATAAAATGAAATAAAACGAAATGAAATAAAATAAAATGAAATGAAATGAAATAAAACGAAATGAAATAAAACGAAATGAAATAAAATAAAACGAAATGAAATAAAACGAAATGAAATGAAATAAAAGGAAATGAAATAAAATGGAATGAAATAAAATAAAACGAAATGAAATGAAATAAAAAGGAAATGAAGTAAAACGAAATGAAATAAAACGAATTAAATAAAATGAAATGAAATAAAACGAAATAAATGAAATGAAATGAAATGAAATAAAACGAAATGAAATGAAATGAAATGAAATTAAATAAAATGAAATGAAATGAAATAAAACGAAATGAAATAAAACGAAATGAAATAAAACGAAATGAAATGAAATAAAAAGGAAATGAAATAAAACGAAATGAAATAAAACGAAATGAAATGAAATAATAAGGAAAAGAAATAAAATGAAATGAAATAAAATGAAATGAAATAAAATAAAACGAAATGAAATAAAACGAAATGAAATGAAATAAAAAGGAAATGAAATAAAACGAAATGAAATAAAACGAAATGAAATGAAATAAAATGAAATGGAATAAAATGAAATGAAATGAAATAAAACGAAATTAAATAAAATGAAATGAAATGAAATAAAACGAAATGAAATGAAATAAAAAGGAAATGAAATAAAACGAAATGAAATAAAACGAAATGAAATGAAATAAAATGAAATGGAATAAAATGAAATGAAATGAAATAAAACGAAATTAAATAAAATGAAATGAAATGAAATAAAAAGGAAATGAAATAAAACGAAATGAAATGAAATAAAAAGGAAATGAAATAAAACGAAATGAAATAAAACGAAATGAAATGAAATAAAATGAAATGGAATAAAATGAAATGAAATGAAATAAAACGAAATGAAATAAAACGAAATGAAATGAAATAAAAAGGAAATGAAATAAAATGGAATGAAATAAAATAAAACGAAATGAAATGAAATAAAAAGAAATGAAGTAAAACGAAATGAAATAAAACGAAATTAAATAAAATGAAATGAAATAAAACGAAATAAATGAAATGAAATGAAATGAAATAAAACGAAATGAAATGAAATAAAATGAAATGAAATAAAATGAAATGAAATGAAATAAAACGAAATGAAATAAAACGAAATGAAATGAAATAAAATAAAATGAAATGAAATAAAACGAAATGAAATAAAATAAAATGAAATGAAATGAAATAAAACGAAATGAAATAAAATAAAACGAAATGAAATAAAACGAAATGAAATGAAATAAAAAGGAAATGAAATAAAATGGAATGAAATAAATAAAACGAAATGAAATGAAATAAAAAGGAAATGAAGTAAAACGAAATGAAATAAAATGAAATAAAATAAAATAAAATGAAATAAAACGAAATGAAATAAAATAAAATGAAATGAAATGAAATAAAACGAAATGAAATAAAACGAAATGAAATAAAATAAAACGAAATGAAATAAAACGAAATGAAATGAAATAAAAGGAAATGAAATAAAATGGAATGAAATAAAATAAAACGAAATGAAATGAAATAAAAAGAAATGAAGTAAAACGAAATGAAATAAAACGAAATTAAATAAAATGAAATGAAATAAAACGAAATGAAATGAAATAAAAAGGAAATGAAATAAAATGGAATGAAATAAAATAAAACGAAATGAAATGAAATAAAAAGAAATGAAGTAAAACGAAATGAAATAAAACGAAATTAAATAAAATGAAATGAAATAAAACGAAATAAAATGAAATGAAATGAAATGAAATAAAACGAAATGAAATAAAACGAAATGAAATGAAATAAAATGAAATGGAATAAAATGAAATGAAATGAAATAAAACGAATTAAATAAAATGAAATGAAATGAAATAAAACGAAATGAAATGAAATAAAAGGAAATGAAATAAAACGAAATGAAATAAAACGAAATGAAATGAAATAAAATGAAATGGAATAAAATGAAATGAAATGAAATAAAACGAAATGAAATAAAACGAAATGAAATGAAATAAAAAGGAAATGAAATAAAATGGAATGAAATAAAATAAAACGAAATGAAATGAAATAAAAAGGAAATGAAGTAAAACGAAATGAAATAAAACGAAATTAAATAAAATGAAATGAAATAAAACGAAATAAATGAAATGAAATGAAATGAAATAAAACGAAATGAAATGAAATAAAATGAAATGAAATAAAATGAAATGAAATGAAATGAAATAAAACGAAATGAAATAAAACGAAATGAAATAAAACGAAATGAAATGAAATAAAAAGGAAATGAAATAAAACGAAATGAAATAAAACGAAATGAAATGAAATAATAAGGAAAAGAAATAAAATGAAATGAAATAAAATGAAATGAAATAAAATAAAACGAAATGAAATAAAACGAAATGAAATGAAATAAAAAGGAAATGAAATAAAACGAAATGAAATAAAACGAAATGAAATGAAATAAAATGAAATGGAATAAAATGAAATGAAATGAAATAAAACGAAATTAAATAAAATGAAATGAAATGAAATAAAACGAAATGAAATGAAATAAAAAGGAAATGAAATAAAACGAAATGAAATAAAACGAAATGAAATGAAATAAAATGAAATGGAATAAAATGAAATGAAATGAAATAAAACGAAATTAAATAAAATGAAATGAAATGAAATAAAACGAAATGAAATGAAATAAAAGGAAATGAAATAAAACGAAATGAAATAAAACGAAATGAAATGAAATAAAATGAAATGGAATAAAATGAAATGAAATGAAATAAAACGAAATTAAATAAAATGAAATGAAATGAAATAAAACGAAATGAAATGAAATAAAAGGAAATGAAATAAAACGAAATGAAATAAAACGAAATGAAATGAAATAAAATGAAATGGAATAAAATGAAATGAAATGAAATAAAACGAAATTAAATAAATGAAATGAAATGAAAT